TAAAGAGGGAAAGAAACACAATTTCTATGGTGGTGGACTCTTGGTGATTTGGTGGTGGGTACCCTATGTTGGTGATACCTGATAGAGAAAAATCCTAATGTTACCACAATTAAAAGAATAAATTTTTGAAAAGAAAGAAAGAAAGGGTTTGTTTGAGAGTATGTGTAATGGGATGCCCAGCATCACTGGTGAGGCAAAGGTGAGTCTTTGACCATGGTTAGAAAGGACAGTATTTTACATAGGGTATTACAGAGAAACAATGCTTTGTACTTTAAGGTTAGCCCCATTTTCACTGCAGGTATAATCTGAGGAATGATATTTTTTTTTTTTTTTTTTTTTTTAAAGTTTTTTTTTTTTTTATTTTATTTATTTTATTTTTTTTTTTTATATAGAGGCATGTTTTCTTTCTTTTTCTTTCTTTCTTTGTTTTTGTTTATACATGCACTGGGTACAGTCAGAAGCGCGGGAGGGTGAGAGAATTCACCAGAGCCAGAGCGGGGAGCAGAGCAGGCAGAAGGACCGAAGTACACTGCTGAGGGGAGCAGCGGGCGGCAGGAGAGGTCTGCGCGCCATGTGGGACCCTCCTCCGGTGGCCGGGGAGCAGCCGGGGATCGAACCGGCGCTGCAGAGGCTGCGGGCAGCTTCGCAACCCAGCGCTCAACCGCTGCGCCACCGGGGAGGCCCCAGAGGAATGATATGTTAATGCGCTATGTGGGTGATGCTGGTAAATGATTACTCCTGCCAAAAATAGTTAGCATTTTATCATTGACTGCCTATAAACAATGCCTTAACCTTTGTACATAAGCACTTCCGCCTGACTGTTTAACAGAGGCCTAGGGTAATGAACTCCATTTGAGCCTACTTTTCCAGTCTTGCCAAGGTAGAAAGCCCACGTACAATGCAGAGGTCCTGGGTTAGGAAACAGTAGTACTCAGAATATTTAAACTTAACTTTTCAGTCCCTGATCTCCTAAACCCAAACTCCTCTTTCCACATCGCACATGGAAAACTTTCATTTGATCTGACAAAGTATCATAATGAATAAATACTATCAAAATAATGCTACTGGGTAGGCATAAATGTGACATTCAGCAATTTAATTCTAAGCTTAGAAAAATGAAGGTGACAAAGGTTAGTCTTTGACCCGATATTTTTTTAACATTCTCATTATTAATGTATGTATGTACATACATGGATGTATATCATATAATAAGTAGATATGAGCTCAAGTTTACCAAATATGGAAATAAAAGAGTTATTTCAGCAATATTCTCACATATCCACACTAAGTGATTGAAAGTCAGTAGCAAATAGTTTTAAAGGACATCCTAAGGATCCCCTAAGTATTTGGAATGACAAAATTAGCATATCCTTCAGAGTTCATTCAAAGCAACCCCGCCACTTTAAGACCTAGGCATGCAATACCTTTTCCAGGTCATCCATCAAGTTCATGGACTACATCTAGTGTCCATGGCTCTCTATTCTTCAAAGTGAATTCCTCCTTTTCTGGGTAAAGTTTGAGAGATTAAGGGGGCGCTTGTCTCCTATTTTCTACAGAATTTCAGTTCCTGGGCAGTGACTAATCCCCAAGGTCACTGTCCCACCCAAACTAGAAGTCCCCGCCTGAAGCATAAATGTGGCACCAACTAAAGAAGTGCCATTTATACATTCTCCAGTATCACACTTTTTCCATAAACATCCAGCCCTGCTAAAAATCCATCCTATCTGTTGTAATCTGAAATGTTTACTACAGCATAATCCCCTCCCAATATGGTGGCCTTTAGTGTACACACAAGTACATGCACACCAAATATCCCCTCTTAGCCCCAAATATCCTCTTACCACTTAGTGAGTACACACATCACACAATCATTAGAGAAAACTACCCCACTTTAAAGTCCTAAGGATGACTAGAAGTCTGTAAAGCGAAAGAATGGATTCCCTCTGCTCCTTATGGGACATGTAATCACAGTTCAGGCACCTCCTTTTGAACAGTTAGACATCTGGATGTTATTTGAGATGGGGGCAAGAACTATCTTTTGCTATTAATAAAATCTCTTTTTGTTGTTGTTGTTGTTGCTAGGTCATGAGCTGGAACTAGTCATGAACTAATTCTCCTTCTACATTATTTGTGGCCAGCCAAGAATACATTTTATGCCTTCTCTGAACTTGCTATGGGTTAGGGAAGCAAATGTATCCCACTCCCAGACTCATGAATGGCTAAAGATAAAAGTTATTCTAAACGACAACTTTCAGTTTAAGAACTGTGAAACCCATCTACCCAAAAAGGTTTGAGAATTACCAAGATACCTCTATTAACCGTGTAGTGAAAAAAACAAGTTTGTAATTCCCTTCTGTGACTACACTTTTGAGAAGAGATGCCGTGCAAGATGACCCTCTTTGCAGCAGTGAAAGAAAAGAAAAATATTTGAGGACCTTGGACAACCCAGACTATCTTGTGCTCAGTTTGACTTATATGAGTTCTATAGACCACCGCAGAGCATACTTTCTAAAAAGTGTGGGAAATCTCTTGTTTCTGTGAAGTGTGATAAATCTTGGGATTTGGAACCCAAAAAACATAAAGGACTATTTTCAAGTTTGAGAAGCAGGAGTGTAAGCCCTTTGGCTAAAGGAATATCCAACATCATCTGTGTATATCTTCCTAATCACAGCAGTATATCTTACTGTTCATTCTTATTATACCTCTGTCAGATTTCTCAATGAAATCTCGACTCCTAACAATCACTGATGTAGCTGTAATCCAGTGAGACCCAGCCTCTGGAGACTTCTGCACCTACTCCAGGGGTGACCAGCTCTTTTGTCCTCACCAATGGCCCTGAGGATCTACTGAAAATGGATACACTTGGAAAAAGGGTCTTTGCAAATGTAGTTAAGGCTCTTCATCGTAAGGCTCTTACAATGAAATCATCCACATTATACAGGTGGGACCTACATTTACTGGAAGGGTCTTTATAAGGGACACACAGAAGAGCACTAACAGGGAGAAGAAGAAGAGGCCAAGGGACCACGAAAACAGATAACCTAAGTGAGGCAGCCACACACCATGGATTACTAATAGCTATCAGAAGCCAGATGAGGCAAAGGATTCTCTAAGGTACTAGAGGGAATGTGGCTTTTCCTGTACCTTGATTTTGAACTTCTGGACTCCAGAACAGGGAGACACTAAATCTCTGTTGTTTTAAACCAGCTAGTTCAGAGTAATAGTAGAGCAGCCACAGGTAATTAGTAATCGTGGGTGGGGGGATTCCCTCATAGAAATTTTCTGCTTCCACATAAGTGAAAAATTTAATAAATTGCAATTTTATTCTTTACATGTTTGTCCTTATGTTTCTACCTACAAGAAATATTTCAAAATATTATTTCTATTATAAGGTATGTCAAAATCATATTACTAGTGTTATTTTTCTTTAACTCCAATGTTTCCCATGCTTTTTTGTCTTTCTAACTCGTGATCTAGCAGTGGTTTGACTTTTAGGCTACATTTATTAGCAATCTAAATAGAGTAAAAACTGAAGGATTTGATTGAGTATTCCAAGTTCAGCAGACAGTCTGTTTGTTTAAATACACACACATACATCTATGTATATGTTTCTATTTGGGAGGCAAGCGTGGCGAGTGGAGCACTTGCTACAGAAAAGATAGTATGAAAGTATATGGTTTATAGCAAAATGTGCTAGACATGCTTTAGGAAAAGGCTGCCTCAAATTCCAACAGCAGGATACCCTACAAAATCACTGACCAGTATCCCTCAAACCTGTCAAGGTCATCAAAAAAGCACAAAGTAGGAGAAATCCTTACTGCCAAAAGGGAGTCTAAGGAGTCATGCGGTTGAAATGTAAAGTGATAACCCTGGCCAGAAAAAGAACATTAGGCAAAAATCAAAGAAACTGAATAAAATAATGGCATTAGTTAAAAATTATTTTATCAGTGTTGGTTCCCTGATTGCAACAAAAATACCTTGTAAAATGCTAATAAGTGAAAATGGGGGCCCCCCCCAGAGGTGGGAACTGTTATCTTCTCATTTGTCCGTAAATATTAAACTATTTCACAAAAATGCCTGTTACACACACACACAGAGTTGCACGGCTGTCTCTATCAACATTCATATTCTAAAAGAAAAATTAAGCTGAAAGAAGTGAAACATTTCATACAAATCAGCAACGTCCAGGAAATTCTCTCGACAGCTTCCCAGAATGCCAGACCATATTGCAAAGGATTATTCAATCAGGCTTTTACTTTCTTCTCATAATTGGCGATGCTCTGAAAAGGGAGCACCACCACGACACGTCTCCAGATATGCAAAAAAAAAAAAAAAAAAAGGAATGAAAAAACAAAACAGCTGGCTCTGCAGCCCAGTTTCCAGGGCTAACTGGCGTGCCATCTGCTCGCAGCATACCCTGGTAACCATGGTTCACGTGTCACCCCAGCGATCGGGGTGAGGAAGTTTGTCCCAACAAGCCTGGACAACTTCGCTGGCGCGCAGGTGGGGGGCCGGGTGGGGGGCAGCAGCATCCAGCGTGTGCAGATCGTTTTTCCAAACCCCATCTGCTCTCCCCACCCCTGGCGGCGGTGCCCGCGGGCTCCCGGCGCGGCCAGCCGGGCGGACCTGAGCTGGTCTTTTCTGCATAACAAAAGCGCCCCCTCCTCCCGCCGCCCCGCGCCGCCCCCACCTAGGCTTCCCGCGGCCGCCCGGGCCCGCGTCCGCGGCAGGAATTGGCTCCCGGGCCGCGAGGTTTCCAGGTACCCGGAAGGGGGAGGGGGCCCGGCGGCCACAATTGGGCGGGTGCGGCCGAAACGCGCGGCCAGGAGCGCCAAGACGCGGGGGCGCGGCGAGCTCCGGCCTTGGCGGCCCGCGATTGGCCGGGCCCGCTCCCCCGGCCGCCGCTGATTGGTGGATTCTGAAATTCGGTCTCTAGGCGCCAGAGGAGGTGTTTTAGCGGGGACCGCGGGCCAGGGCTGCAGCCACGCTCAGGGGCCGGGGCGCTGGGGCAGCCTGGTGGCCTCGGGGTCCCCGCTGGCGCTTGGCGCGCGGAACCGGGGTCTGCACGCCTCCTTCTCCCCACCCGATGTCGCCGCCCGGATGCTGATCGCCTCGCCCTGCTGATCGCACGCGGGTGTGGGGCTGTGGAGGTCCCCCAGGAGGCAGGAAACACCCTTTGCAAAGCGGGAGTAAGTAGCGTGCAGCCCCGGCGCCGGCGGAGAGGCGGGAATTTGGGGGGAAGGCGACCTCTCCCTCGCTCCCTGGCTGCCAGTTTGCCCCTTCTGCCATCCTCGGCTGGAGGGGAGTCTTGCATGCATTTCTTCCTACGGCCTGTCTGGGGAGGAGACTTGCCCTTCGACACGATTGGGGGTTCATGGAAGAGTTTATCTTTGGGGGGTCTGCTCGGAGGCCGGGGACGGGGCTGCGCCAAGTGCTGGGTGGGTTTGGTCTAGCGATCAGGTTTCCTTCTACCCCCTCAAAGCCGAATTCCTTCCAGTTCTTTGCGCCAAAATTAACTGACCTAGGAGACCCTGTATTTGCTGACAGATTTGCCCTACACATTCTGAATCGGTAACTTAATTTTGCCCTGTTGCTTTGCTCAAAAAAACTTATTAATTTTGTCGATTTTTTTTTTTTTCTCTCTCCAGGTTTTCAGTATTGCTAAACACATTTTAGGTGTTTGTGTTCATTCATGTGCTATTTAGGGGGAGTTGGGGGTGACTACACTCTTAGTAAATTGCCAAGATTTAGGGAGGGGAAGTTCATGTTCACGAGCAAGAAATGGATATTGTTGTTCGAGAAGAACAGAGCCCAATTGTAAAATCATGTTCTAATAATGTACATTGTGTATTGCAGATGGAGGTAAATTGTTTAACACTAAAAGACCTGATCAACCCCAGGCAACCCAGACTAGATTTTGCAATTGAAGATGGGGAAAATGCACAAAAGGTAAGCACCCTTAAATACCTTTAACTCTTATTTATGATGATGTCTAATTGAGTGAACTGTTCCATCATGCCACTGGTGTTTGATGTATAAACAATTTTGATGAGCAGCATAGAACTGTATTTTTTATAAAATGGAGGCAACTAAAACCATATTGTTCATATTCTCAGTCATTGTGCAGTAGAATGAGGCTAGGTTTGAAGTAATGTTGGAAACAATTTATATGAATCAAAAATATATTGGACACTGCAATCAGAAGTTTATAATACTTATAGTTGAGACTGGAATTGCATAATAATTTTTTTGAATGTTAAACCTCAATTCCCATGAAAAGACCATCATTTTTGCGATAAGTGCTCAATTATTAAAATCCTACAAAATGTTCTTGACACCAACGAACCAGCTCCCACAGGTTGTTTCAGTAACTCACGAGTATGGCCTGTGAGACTCCCATATAGGGAGATATGGACCTTAAGACAACGAGCATAGTCCTTGAATATTTTACAGTGTTATGGTCAGTTTTGCACTGAGTCATCCTCTCCCTTTTTTGTGCCCCTTGTGATTTTAAGACCATGGTGTTATCTTCACAGAACATTACAAAAGGAAACTGGCTGTAGCAATGTCTAAACTATCACAGCACCCACATCAGCACAGTTGTGCTCCCAGCCAGTACCCTACCGGAAAGGTGTAATAATAGCTTGTTAGTAGCGAATGTCTACACATTTTTGGCAGAGACAAGTAGATATAACAAACCCGATTAGAAACTCAGAATGCCAATCTGTGCCCAGCAGCTTCCTTGGTCACTGAACTTATCTGCATTTCTGCTCTTATTTTTAGTTTTAAACTGCCTGTTTATGAAGCACCTGTTATGTGGCCCTTTGAAGAATACTTGACAACTTTTAATTTTGGATAGGAATGAAATGTTTATACTTTTCCAAGGAGGGTTTTTTCTTTTCCCTAACATTGAATTTATTTTTGTTAAGGAAAGAATATTCTAATTTTAAAGATGACTTTTGAAAAAATTACCTTGTGGGGATGAAAATGTGCAGACTTTTAAAGTATATAGACAGAGTTTAATCTTTAGGCGTTTCAGAACAAAACTTTTTGTTTACCTTTATAATTTGGATGGAACCACCTGGAAAGTATGTGTATACATTTATATAAAACCTAAGTCAGCGTCTACTTCTTTCCTTCTGGGTCAAGTGCCTTTAACAAGGGCACTTCTACCCTACTTAGCATCAGTAAGTGCCGTGTTCAGCTAAGCTTTCACGTTTTTAATGGGTCTGGAGAGAAAATCGAATGATTCAAAAGAAATTGGGTACGTGGTTAAAATGTTTGAAATACAGTATACAAGCAGGTCTTATTTCACCTCTTGAAGAGAAGACAAGGGATGAGAGAGCAGAGATAGCAATGGCTGTGGTGTGGTAACATACACTGGAATACACAACATAAACAATGGCTGTGGTGTGGTAACATACACTTAGTGGCTGTGGTGTGGTAACATACACTTGAAGTATGTGATCTTATACCGCTAAATCATATACAGTGTTATAAACTAATGCAATCTCAATATAAATAAATAAGTTATGGGGATGAAACAAAAAAAAACTTCATTTAGGATAGTGGTGATTTTGTACAGCAATGCAAATAGACTTACTGCCACAAATTATACAACCAAAAATGGTTAAAATGGTTAATTTTATGAAGTTTGTCTCTCTTTCACATTGCTCTGAAGCAAAGAAAGGTGAACATAGGATTTGGAGTCAGAAATCTGGATTTGATTCCTACTCTTCCATTTAGTAGCTGTGTAATCTCAGACATAGATATTTATTCAGTTTTTCAGCAACTATTTATGTCACAGATGCTGGGGCCTCAGTGGTCTAATAAGTCTCCTAACCTCTCTAAGCCTGTTTTTTTCTCACATATTGGAGCTAATAAGTAGCGCTTCCCTCTGGGTTTTTGTAAAGCACTCAGCAACACACAACTGTTCACACTATACTTAGTTGAACTGATAGCCCAAAGATGAATATGATGCAGGCCCTGCTCTGAGTTACCTGAGAAATATTCAGGATGTCAGGTGTAAAACTAACCAACTATACTATGATTTAGTAAGTGCTGTAGGGAGAGCCGGAGGCAGGACGGCCCAAGAGCACCTGTTTTGGTGGCAGAAACAACTTGATTTCCCCACCAGCCTGGGATGCCGAGGGTGGCAAGCTGGCAATAGGGAGGGAGATGTCCCTTCTCCCCTACCCCAGTTCCCACTTCTCCACCAGCTCTGGAGCTAGCAGAATAGAGAAGGAAGAAATAAATTCATGGGGCGTTCTTAAAGCATCAGGAAGCTTCACATGGAGGCAGTAGTTAAGGATGTTTAACATTTAACTTATGAGGAAAAAAAGAGGGAAGATGGATGTTGTAGGCATAAGAAAGAACATGAGGTGTGAGGATACAAGAAATGTTTGAAATATCCAGAGTGGCCAGAAATGGAATTGTGAGTTGTTTCTGAAATCTCTTTGAGGGATATCTGGAATAGTGCCCTTTGAGTCAGTTGGTATTTAGAGGCTTTTTCTTGACTGTCTTTACTTTGTTCAAGATCTATAAGTACTATATATTATGCATGTATCTTCTTTCCACGCATGGAGAAACTTTTTGCATGCATGAAGGTGTTTTCGTCTTCATTACCCAAATTTGCTCTGCTATGTTGTGGGATTATAAACATGACTCTCCTCTTAAGTTGTTTACAGTGCATTTGGGAATGATAGAAGTAGAAAATGATGATTTGGAATAAATTAAAAAATAAGGGGTTAGCTTTGGGAAGGCTCTTTGAACGAGATGACACGAGCTACAGCTTGAAGGAATAAATACCAAGATATATGTAGATAAAGAGGATGGGAATTAGTAAAGAAGTAGAAATGAACATGGTATATTTGAGGACAGTGTCTATACTTAGTGGGTATTTCTTTGAAGGTCATTTATCTCCCTGGGGAGCAGTTGAAAAAGAAGAGTTTCAAATTCAATGGGATATATTTGCTCCTGTGTTCATTGCAGCACTATTTACAATAGTAAAGTTATAGAAAAACAACTTAAGTGCTCCAAAGACAGATGAGTGGACTAGAAAGATGTGGTGTGTATGCACAATAGAATACTATTCAGCCATAAAAAAGATAAACTCTTGCTGTTTTCTACTGAATGGAAATAGAGGGAATGATCCTAAGTGCAATAGGTCAGAAAGAGAAAGACAAATACTGGATGTATCACTTATATGTGAAATACAGAGAAACAAAACAAAGGGTCAGATGAAAACAAACTGGTAACAAACTCTAGAAATCTGACTGTAGAACTCGGGCTACCAGAGGAGGTGAGGAAGAAAGGAGAGTGAAGTGTTGAGGGGGCATGATGGACTATGGTGGAGAGCTATAAGTGACTTAGTGGCTGTGGTGTGGTAACATCCACTTGAAGTATGTGATCTTATACCTCTAAATCATATACAATGTTGTAAACTAATGCTATCTCAATATAAATAAATAAGTTAGGGGGATGAAGTAAAAAAAAAACCTTCACTTAGGATAGTGGTTCAGCAATGCAAATAGAATTACTGCCACAAATTACACAACCAAAATGGTTAAATGGTTAATTTTATCTTATATATATTTTACCACAATTTTAAAAAACATTCTTTTTTGTCCACAGCACTACAATGACAACTCTTGCAAATTACTCAGTCTCTCAGACCCTCTCTGCAGTGGCAAAGGAGAATAAGTCTACCTACTTTTTAAAGTTGTTAGAGGGATTAAGAGTAAAATTTCAGAAGTCCCCAGAAATGCCTCACTAGGTGATTTCAGTGTTGTGTGAAGGTCAAGATTGTAATTACACAAACCTAGATGGCACAGCCTATTACAACACCTAGGCTGTGTGGTGTGCAGCCTGTTGGGGCCACTGTCATCTATGCAGTCTGTCATTGACCAAAACATCATTAGTGACACATGATTCTGCACCTGAGATATATATAGGTAAATAAATATTTATGTGCAGGAGGCAGCTGGTTCCCTTATTTTGGAATTGATGGAACATCCTAGCCACATATAAACTTGGGAATTATCAACATATGAATGTTTAAAAACCTTGGGTCAGCTACCCCAAAGAACAAATTGAGAGGCGAGGGCTTAGGTTTATAAGAATGGAAAAAGGAACCAATAAGAGGGAACAGAGGAGTAGGAAGAGAACAAAAAGACAGAGTGCTATCTCAGCAGTGCTGAGCATTTTACAGAGCAAAACATAGTCAGTAGTGTTAATCATTGCAGACAGGTCAAGGGAGATAGTTTGCCATTGACATGGTAACTGAGAGGCAACTAAGTGAATCTAATTGTGGTTTGAGAATCTCCTGGGAAATTGTGGGGGGCACCCTCAGTGTGGATTACTAATTCTAGAAAGTGTACTATGAAGGGGACAAAGTTGTTAGTCAATCTCTAGAAGGACACACTTCCTAACATGTCGCCATTTTTTTTTTTTTAAGATTTATTTATTTATACATACAAGACCTGGGGTACAGGCCAGAGATGCGGGGGTTGAGAGGATTCACCAGAGATAAAGTGGGGAACAGAACAGGCAGACTGACTGAAATACACTGCCGAGGGGAGTAGCGGGCGAGCCAGGAGAAGTCTGCTGCGCTGTGTGGGCAGCTCCCTGGCCGGCGAGGGATCGAACTCGTGCTGCAGAGGCTGCAGACAGCTTCATAGGTTGTGTCTTAACCCCCATGCGCCACCAGGGAGGCCCCCTAACATGTCGTCTTTGAGACTTAAACAATAGGTAGGGTTTCAATGGGCAAAGTTTAGCTGGTGATGGCATTAAAAACAAGGTGATGTCAGCAACAGCTTAGACATGATGAAGAGCAAAGCAGGTTGAAGAAAAGCCAGTGTGGAATGTATGGGCAAAATGTTGGATATGCATGAGAGAACTTGGAAAGAACTCATCAGAATATTGCTAAGGGCCTTGACAAGACCAATGACTGACTGTGTTATCTGAAGTAACGTGATCAAAGTTACATCTGAGACAGAAACAGAAGTAGAACCTAGTCCTTAGTCTTGTAGCTATGAATTCCTTTCTATGGACATAGAGAGCATGGTCATGATGCTAATAAAATTAATAGTAATAAGGAACATGTGCATAACACTTACCTTACAAACTGCTTTCACCTTCATTATTTGATCTGATCCTAATAGCCTCCTATGACAAGTCAAGGTACATTACTTCATTTGCATATGAGAACTGGAGAACCTGTTCATGGGTTATGTTCTCGAGGCTCTCCCTAACTGAGGAGTGATTTCCAAGGGTTTCCAACTTAGATTTCATGGCAAGCAGATCTGACTGGAAGTCTAGTGTACTTGTTCCTTTAGGGAGTGCTTTGGGGGTTGATTCTTAGGAAGGGGAAAGGGAAGGGAGCAGAATAGGAGAAAAGAAAAGACAGAGCTGAGTTTAGTCTCAGCAGAAGGCTGACTTTATCCTAAGGGGAGTTCTAGGATCACCTCTGGAAGTAGTTTTGAGTTGGGACAAAAGGGTCAGGCATTTACATGTCAGTGCTACTTCTACCAGCTCTTAAGTAAGCACAGGCTTCCTGGAAGTGATGTGATTCCTCTTCAACCAAGCCAAGAAAAGGCTTTCTGGGGACATTACTTCCAACAGCTAGGGGAATGAGTCATTCATTCCTGAAGAGATCTGGGTGCATCCCAGTGTTTACTGCACAGTTAGGCGGCCTTGCTGGAAAGCCCTGGAGATAGTCTGAACTCCTTATTTGGGGATCAGGAAACTTGGACCCAAACATAATGAACAGCTTGTCCGGTATCAGAAAGATATAAAATAGAAAGAAAACCAGGATTCCAAATTCTCATTGCCTTCCCTTCCCCATTGTGTTACAAAGTGTCAGGATTGGGGGGATAGACAGCTGAGTGGGCCAGAGTGTAGCTAGACTACAGTTGACCTGCCCACTGGAGACCTCAGAAAACAATTTGCATGGCATAGTTTTCTTTTCATGTAGAGGATCAGATACAGCCATAACCTACCAGGTAACCTAACTCCCCTCCTACTTTAAGAGTTACTTAAATTACAGTGAGCTATAGATCAAAGTATAGGAGGAAATAATCCCTCAGAATTGCTCCCTCAGTAACAAAAAAGTAAGAACTCATCTTCCCTGTAATTATAGAGACAATGGAGGCACTTGGGAAGGAGAGTGTTCTCTCTTCTACTTTAGCAAGCTTTGACCACACCCTCTTCCATGAGGATACCTTTTGAAGTAGCTGGTAACCAAGGTACAGTGTTCTCCAAGCACCTACAAGGAGCAAGGCATTGTACTAAAAACTGAAGAGAGACACATGAACTTGCTCCCTGGCTTCTTTAAGTGCCCAGTCTCACTAAGGAGATACGACACACACCCAGGAAATTAAATAGCAGTACAGTGTGCTATATTATTAACTCCAAGCGCCTGAATAAATGGTAATAGAGAACGGGAAAGGTATAATAACTAAGTTTTATTGCATGGACACTATATGCCAGGAACTAGTCTCATACTCCTTAAAGTTGGTATTTTTATGAATGACATAGTGAAGAGGAGAAACTTGCCCACAATCACATGTTTGAAAGGCAGCAGAAGCAGGTAAGCTGGCCTCAGAGTGTGTGCAGACCTATTTCCCATACTGACTCTTCATCGATGCTAGTGGATATCAGTGCTCTGCTGGGTATCTTTTGTTGGAGCTCTGAAAAGACACATTCCCATGTTATACCAGTAAAACTCATTTCCCTGGATCCTCATCTGAAAATGATCCCCAGTCTTAGAACCTTCCCCATGTGGAGTTTTTCTGGTGGTGGTTCGTAGAGTTTTGGTTGGCTTCCAAACTGGTCCTTTCACTTAGAGATTCTTTTCCTTTGCTTCTCTGGTCAAGTCAGCACATAGCTCCAACGATTTCACATTGCAGCTGGTTAGAGTAATTGTAATTCAGTGATTTGCCACCTCGGGCTCCAGATGTCTTCCTGGTATCTTTTAAAGTCATGACTGAGTTGTGGCTTCCTGCCCTACTTGTTCCTAGGTGAGAGAATAGTGAGTCAGGAGCAGGAGCCAGAGGGCAGGAACTCTGCTGCACTTGCAATCTTGTCTTCCACAAAGAACAGGATATAGGTATTTGGAAATTCAAATCCCTGGTCATTCACCATGGGTAATTTGAGAAGCATGCTTTGCGGGGATAATATTGATAGCTCCAGCATAAATGTGACATTTTGTTCGATGCTCTTCCATTAATTCCTGCTACAAATTGGTGAACATTAGAACTGGAGAACTACAGAGCGGAATGCTCTTCACTAGTTAGTATGAACTTGTAAATAGTGTTTTTAAAAATATGGATGGTTGGGCCTCCTGGTGGCTCAGTGGTTAAAGACAGCACTAACAAGCTATCACCAGCCACTACAGCATGAGTTCGACCCCCGGCTGGCCAGGGAGCAACCCACGTGGCACAGCAGACCTCACCTATCTGGCCCACTGCTCCCCTCAGCAGTGTGTTTCATTCAGTCTGCCTGTTCTGCTCCCCACTCTCTCTGGTGAATCCTCTCACTCCCCGCACCTCTGGCTTACACCCCAGTACTTACATGCATAAATAAATAAATCTTTAAAAAAAAATGGATGGCACTTAGAAGCAATATGGTTCAATTTACTCATCATCCTCAACTATTTCAAGAATCCAACAGAGATACACTCATGACTTCTTTCAGAGATGCTATGAAAAATAAGTTTAATGAGTAGCATATTATCATCAGTTTGTCACTGGAGCCACTCTTTAATTCCCAGGAATCCTTCTGATTTTGACTAGCCCTTTACTGATATTTTCCAGATATGGTCTGTGTGATTGCCATGTCTTGGTGAATGGCAGAAATAAAGTATAGTCTTAGCTGATAATGGTCTGTTCTCACTTGTGCTAAAAGGTCTCTTTCCTTAAATAGGAAAATATATTTGTTGATCGATCAAGGATGACCCCGAAGACTCCAATAAAAAATGAACCAATTGATTTATCGAAGCAAAAAATTTTCACTCCAGAAAGAAATCCCATCACTCCAGTTAAGCTTGTTGACAGACAGCAGGTGGAACCGTGGACGCCTACCGCTAACCTGAAGATGCTCATTAGTGCTGCCAGCCCAGACATCAGAGACCGGGAGAAGAAAAAGGAACTGTTCAGACCCATCGAGAACAAGGATGATGCGTTTACAGACTCTCTGCAGGTAAACAGGCTAAGCTTTTTGAGAATTTTAAAAATTTTACTTGATTATTGAAAGGTCATAGGCTTCTCAATTTTCCAGTTATTTTTGAACCAAAAACAGTACTAAATAACTGTATCTCATTTGTCATAATGAATGCTTTCTTTTCTTTATGATAGTTCCTTGACAGCAAATTTGAAAATGATATTTTTAAGCAATATTTGATAATTTTAATATATTGAAGAAATTTGAATTTTTTAATCCATTTTTAAGTGCTGTTGTGAATTATAATTTTGTTCCAAGTTTAAGGGTACTATTAATCTAAATATTTTTAACTTCTGAAATTTTATTATCCTCATATATGTTCAGTTCCTTCGTTTTGGGCTTTAAACTTAAATCATCTTTAAATTATCTGACCTTGGTGAACCAGCTGCTGAATAAGCAGCATAATTATTCTCTTTTAAATAGTTCATAGTCAATAATTTTAATTCTTCTATTAAAACTCTTCCCCAGATTTGCTAAGGAAAGTTACTCAGAGATGAGTATTATTTTTCCTCCATTTGGCTGATTTTTTAAGCTATACATATTGCCAAAATTAAGAATTTGAAAAAGAAGTGAAAAAGATGTCCTGTATCACAGCTTGAAATTAGTAGAACACAATGAATTGAATCTGCAGTATATTCATTGCAGTGATACAACTGATTCTTTCATGTAACTAAATACACAGTATGCAGTTTTGAGAGTAGTTCCTAAGCCAGAAAAATTTCACAATTTCTCTTTTCTAAGTCTGAATCATTCTTTGACTTCCTTTCTGTTTTATATTTGATGTGGAAGGCACAGGGACTTGGTTTCAGAGGTCTTAGGTTCAAATCAGTAGATAGCTCAAGGTTTTTAAATCTCTGCACCTCTGTAAATAGTGTGGTACCTGCCCTGGTCCCATTAGAGTTACAAGAATCAATCAAATCAAATTTGTATTTTGTTGTCCAAACTATGTTAATATTAGTTGCTTTTCTATTTTTTTGATAAAAATCAGCAACAGGAAAATCACCCAATGGGAAACTGCTAGTGACCTCTTTCACTTCTTGAGAAGGGAACACTATCAATAACTTTCTTTGGCAGAACAAGTTGTTTAATTTGCACCTAAAACAATTCAATTTTTGTTTTCCTACTCAAACATTACAGGGATATTTTTAATTGATCAGTCATGAGCCATGTTCCCTCCTCCTCGGAAGTAAATGCCTAAAATTTGAGTGGTCTTAAAACAACCTTTTAATATCTTTTTGAAATTGATTCTTTATTACCATTTAATGGAATATCTGGTTATATAAAATATACTTATCATATATGTAAGGTCTTTTAATAGTCATAAATCTACCTCCCAACCCCCAAACCAGAACAATACTACTAATTACATCTGCCTCCACCACAGAGTAACTTTCCTGAATTTATATTTATCAATTCCTTGCTATTTTTAAATCACTCTGTCACACATGTGTGTGTTCCTATATATTACTTAGATCTTTTGAATTTTAAACTTTTGTAAAATTAAAATTACGTAGTTTCTGGATCTTACTTTTTCAATAAATTTAGACCTTTAAGATTCACCTGGGTTCTTCCATATAATCCTCCCATTTTTCCAATGTTGTATAATATTCCATTGCATAACTATATAGCCATGTATCACTTAACTTTTTAGTCAACTACCTATTACATACATGTGATAACCCCAAAAGACTGTACCATTTAGATTTGTGTGATTGTACTCTCTGATATTTGCATAACCACAGAATCGCCTAATGATGCAGGACTCAGAATATATCTTCATTCCTAAACAACACCAAACTGTACTATGATTTATTTATCTATTTTCCTGTTTAAAGCCATTTGGATTATTTCCAATTCAGATCAATAGGGCCTATGCTTGCTCCCATCTCCTGGGGTGCATATCCAGGAGTTCTCAAAGTGTGGTCCAGGGACCTTAAAGTCCCTGAAACTCTTTGAGAGGGTCAAGGAAGTAAAAACAATTTTCATAATAATATATAGTTAAATATTTGCTCTTGAACTCTGAATATACATGAGTTTTCTAGTGGCTCCATGATGTGACTATTGTAACAAATACAAAAGCAAACATGACAATCCTGCTGTGCTCTGTTAAAGCAGACACAAAGAGATTTGGAAATTATATAAAACACTGTCCCGTTTTTACTAATCACTTAAGTGTCTCAGTTTTACTTTCTAATACATTAAATTATGATAGATAAAAATCCACGAAAACAAAAACCAGAAAGTTCTGTGGGGGCCTCAGAAGTTCTTAAGACTATATAGGGATCCTGTGGCCAGAAAATTTGAGAACTGCTGTTCTTGGGTCTATACCTTGTTGTGGAACTGCTAGGTTATTATATATGCAGATGATCGCAAGATAATACTAAATTGCTTTTCCACTTGCTATTTGCTTTCTCTAGTGCGGTGGATGTGTATAAATGTGTATAAACATGTAAGAATCCTCTATGACACTGGAAATGTGGAATGTATTAATTTCTGCCAATCTACAGGATGTGCAGTTACATTATTTATTTACTTGACTACTAAGGAAGTTAAGCTTCTTTTCACATGTTTACTGACTTATATGTATTACCTTTCAATTGGATACTTTTATGTTGCTTCTTGAAATTAATTTTCCCTGTGCCATTTTTTTTTTTTTTTAAATTTATTTATTTATTTTTATTATTTATGCAAGCACTGGGTACAGTCAGAAGCGCAGGAGGGTGAGAGAATTCACCAGAGCCAGAACGGGGAGCAGAGCAGGCAGAAGGACCGAAGTACACTGCTGAGGGGAGCAGTGGGCGGCAGGAGAGGTCTGTGAGCCATGTGAGACCCTCCTCCGGTGGCCGGGGAGCAGCCGGGGATCGAACCGGTGCTACCGAGGCTGCAGGCAGCTTCGCAACCCAGCGCTCAACCGCTGCGCCACCGGGGAGGCCCCCCTGTGCCATTTTTTCAGGCTTTCCTTTGCCCCCAAATTGACAATGTTACCTCTGTCACATGGCCTCTTCTTTACTCTCTGTTCCTCTATATATACTTTTTTTTTTTTTTAAGATTTATTTATTTATACATACAAGCACTGGGTACAGTCAGAAGCGCGGGAGGGTGAGAGAATTCACCAGAGCCAGAGCAGGGATCAGAGCAGGCATAAGGACGGAAGTACACTGCTGAGGGGAGCAGCAGGCGGCAGGAGAGGTCTGCACGCCATGTGGGACCCTCCTCCAGTGGCCTGGGAGCAGCCGGGGATCGAACCGGCGCCGCAGAGGCTGCGGGCAGCCTTGCAACCCAGCGCAGATTAATATGAGAAGAATTAATTTCCTTATGGTACTGAGTCTTCCTATCTATGAAGATAATATATTTCTCTACATTTTGAGATATAAATGTTAGAATTTTAAGCAAATAGATTTTTGTTAGACTTGTACCTAAAAATTTTATTGGTTTACAAATGATATATTTTCAATTTATGTTGTTACTATTGTATAGCCGATTTTCTAAAATATATTGTCTCTTCTTTCCAGTTACCTTACTAAATTGTCATTATTTTTAATAAGTTGTGTGAGATTTTATTGAGGTTTTTCATGTAAACAGTCAAGTGTTCTAACAAAGGGAAAATTTTTATTTTTTTTCTTCCTAATCTCTGTGCCTCAGTTTCTTTTTCTTCTCTTCATGCACTGGCTAGGATTTACAATATGATATATAGAAAAGGAAAAGTGATAAGAACATCCTTATCACTTTCCTGAGCTTAAGGGAATGCTTCCAAGATTTTCCCATTAAGACAGATGTTTGCCCTTGGGATTTTATGAATACACTTTATTCAAGAAGTTCTCCATTCCTAGTTTTCAAAAGCATTCTTGAAAATCATGAATGGGTGTTAAATTTATCAAATACTTTATCTGAAGCTATTGAGATAATCATATCACTTTTCTGCTTGAATGTGTTCATTGAAAAGCCTTTTATTTTTTCAGACTAGAATTGAGCCCTTTTCAAATGTGGGTTGATGAGACAAGGACACTAGTTTATTGTAATTACAGAAAGCGAGAATAAGATTTATCTGCCCTTGTTCAGTTCCATCAATCCTTAGTCAATTGTAAAAAATAAAGCAGTTTGATGACACAATGCAGGCCAGTGCATCTCGAAGTTCTCGTGTCAATAAGCATCACCCAAGATCTTATAAAAGGACAGATTCAGACCTATCAGTTCTGAGATTTTACTTCTTTAACAAGCTCCTGATGATGCTGATCAGCAGTCCAACATGTACACTAATGGCAAGAACGTAGCTACCTGTAATGACTGCATTTTTCATTTTTAAAGCTTTTAACCAGTAGAATCAACTTCAAGTTGCAAAAGAGAACTCAATATAGAGGGAACAATAGCTAAAACGTTAAGAAAATTAGATTAAGGTGTATATTTTAACCAGAATCTAGGATGCTGTGAATTGGGATGCCCCCTCCCACCCCAATGAATTGGTTGTCCCAGTACTGCCCATTGCAGTCTCTTATTTGGATTAACTGTGACATCTCCCCTCCCTTCTGTCTGCCCTCTGTAGCTTGATGTTGGGGACAGTGCTGTGGATGAATTTGAAAAGCAAAGGCCAAGCAGAAAACAGAAAAGTTTAGGACTCCTGTGCCAGAAGTTTCTAGCTCGCTATCCAAGTTATCCCTTGTCAACTGAGAAAACTACCATCTCCCTAGATGAAGTTGCTGTCAGTCTTGGTATGTATAATCAGATTACCTGCAGTTACAGTCGGAAACTGACTTCCTCATACAGAACGAAGACTTCAGATAGCCTCTTTTCTTAAATAAAGAGTGGACACTTCAAAAACATGAGGACAGAGGAGTAGGTAGAGCTTCCTTCTGTTATCATCAAATTCCTCATTGTTATGCATAAGATTCCAGTGAGCTGTCTAGGCCTAAGGGTCCAATAAAAATATTGACAATGAAAATATTTTACAAAAGACTCAAATTGCAAGTGAATACCTCAAATTTTAGTTTCATCTAATATCAGACAGACTCAAAAATATTAGGAATAGCCTGCTGTTTATTTTTAAGAATACATCTAAGAGTTCAGAACTGGTATTATTTCTGTTGACTTAAATCAAGATTCAAGAGCAAGAGCATTATGTATACTGTGATATTAACAGCAAGCCTATGAGACTAGAGAAAGCACATCTAGCCATAAGTCAAACAGGTAAACTTTAAAACAGAAAAACACATGTGTTTTATGGCATGGTCTATATAATGTATAGTGCTGTAGGGGCTGTCCATAAGCTGCTTCAGAATAGAGACCCCTAGTGGGCTTGGATTGCTATTGGTTTCAGGAGGAAAATAATGTTAACACAATGTTGAAGCAGAAATCATAATGAATTGAAGGTTTCAGGATATCCCCTTGAAAAGCAAGGAGGTTTTACATACAGAAAGAAGAAGTCCCAAAGAAATCAGCTAAATAGGTTTTATGGTAGATTATATTTTCAGTTCATTTATTAGTTCTATTTCTTCCTGTCACTCAGAGATATGTACCCCAGTAGATGATTGTCAGTGTGGATTATATAAACAGATGGTTTAAAAGATTTTAGTTGCTAGAAACTGAGATAATGATGAATCAGTGGGCTGTGATGGAAGAAAGATTATCGGCTCAGCTTTGGGTCTGACAGGGCTGTATTTGAAACCTATCTCTCCAGTTTACAGACTAAGAACTCTTAAAAATTATATAACTTCTCTTATCTATAACAGATACAGTAGTACCTACCTTGCAGAAACTTAGCAAACTTGGGGATAATGGCAGTAGCATGCCTAACTCAGGGCCTGGCATAGGTTACTCTTAATTATTAGGTGGAATAGTTTCTTCTTGCTCTTACTAGACCTGTCACCCCTTCCACAGGTTGTCCTGTCAACCTTTATAGTTAGGAGGGGAGGAGTAGTGTGTTCTGATTGGGAAGCCATCTTGGAATTCAGAAGCAGAACATGGTGTTTGGCATCAGTGGGAATGAATCAAGAAGGTGAAAGTGACCCAGGTGGATGGAAAACGCTTGATGTGACCCCAGTTGAGGCATAGGGTCCTGGGAACGAGTCTTATAGAGGATTAAGGTTAAGCAGCAATCATGTAGGGTCCTTCTCATTGGGGTTCATGAAACCAGTTCCCGTCAGGGACCTTGCACTGTTACCAATGTAAAGATAAAGAATTACATGTGAGAAGGCTATTTTACAGCTCCAAGAAGGACAGAAAAGTGAACTCCTACTTTCAATGGGTGCAGATCCTCTGCTATGATTGCCTGGAGCAGAACTTCATAGATTTTTGCAACAGCTTCCTACTACCATATGCTTACCCATGGGCTCCCTTCCTGGGAGTAAATTCAGTGGTGATCTTCTCTTGTGGTTAAATCTAAAATTCTGCTATATCTCAGGTCATAGCCATAAGAACATATTTGAACAAAGGATGTATAGAGCATGCACACTGCATTTTTCTGAGATTCTGGCTTCATGTAGATTTGACTTGGATATTATTGACAAGAATATACAGACTCCTTCTGAATCACATGCGATGCTGTAAACCAGTGTTACTTCAATTTTAAAAAAAAAGAATATAAGAATGGGAATGACTTTAGTACATGGAAAATAGCACCAACTGGGAAACTACTGGGCTGAGAGATGTTCTGGATAAGCTCCATCCAGGACTAAGGAAAACATGGTAACAACTGGGTAAATCCTTGAGGGCATAACTAATGCCATGACTAAGATTAATAGGATTGACTTCATACAAAAGAAAAAGTGAGTGCCAGAGAAAACCTTCCAGACAGAGCAAGCCACAGGGAAACCTGCAGGTTTTCAGATTTGTGAAATGTTACTTCTAGTACAGCAGCCAATGGACAGTTCAGCTCAGTCCATATTGAAGAAGTGAGTGATTATCCTACGTTGGCTTTACATTGACTTTTGTCAACACCACCAACTAAGCATCCATTATTGCATATTAAGCATTGTCATCCTTCCCAAATGGTCAGGATCTTCCTTTGTTTTTCCTTTTTGGCCTGTCTAGCCACTAGATGGAGATGTAACAGCTGGTATCTAATACAAAATAACAAAACAGCAGGGCATATGGCTGGCCTTGGGGTGTCTCAGTTGCATTCACATGACATTTCTAATGGGAAGGTTTATAAAATGTTATACTCTAAACAAGATGTGTTAATATCTGAAAACAGACTGGAATAAAGTACCAGGCAGATCTGGATAAGGGGCTGCTGACTGCCCCTGCCAGCACCTTCCAGCAGGCATCTGGCATGGAAGCCTGAGCTTCTGCGGGTGAGGAACCTTTCAGGGTCATGAGCCAAAAAGTTCTGATTGACTGTGAAGTGCCTCTTCATGCATGTGACAGAACGTCCTCTCAGCTCCAGAGGTCTCATTGTCATTTGGTTGATTTCTCATGTTAAATCTTTGAAGGACCAAAGCTAAATTCACTGAGTCTGCCTTGATAATGTAACAGCTCCCGGCAGTTGAATGAAAGGGTATTTCTGTAGCTGGGCTGGTTTTCTGGAAGGTGCCTGGAGGCTTTGTTATGGATACATGAGAGCAAAAGGAGCCACTGGATTCTGAAAGCCTAAGAGCCTGTTGCACAACAGGATGAGTAACAGATGGAGATATTTTAAATCTACTGTGACCTATCATGCTAGCAGGGACTTTAGTATCTTCAGTGCTGTGCAGGAAGTATTTTCAAAATAATATGCACACTGAAGCTAAAGCCACACCTATTAGACACCCTTTGTATTTATGGTCACAGATAATCCTCTTCACTTTACGAGATAAACACTAAGGCACAGAAAGGTTAAGTAGCTCCCAAGATCACCCAACTAGTAAGGGATAGAGCAGGGATTCAAATCCAGGCAGTATGACCTCAAAATCTCTACACTGAGCCATGTAAATATTTTTGGCATATTCGCTAGACAGCTCATAAGCCAAGCTGGTTGGAGAGTGTAGGAGAACATGGTAGGAAAATAATGAACATCAGGATCAGCCTGAATTCTGTATAGGTCTTTGTGCTTCATCCCTGGACAGTTTGGCAGGACATGGTAAATGGGAGTACAGTGGTTGCTGTGATGAGCAAAAGGATTCTTAGGTTGTCCCAGGCCTATATATAGCTTCCTTCAGCAACCTGAGAATGGCACCCGAGCTCTTGACTCATGAGTTTCCCGTACAAACCAGGAAACAAACCCCCTCACTTTTCCTTCCTGGGCTATTATGAGAATTAACAAGGTAATTTTTTTTTACATCATTCAAACTCCAGGAAAGGGTAGTATTGCCCAATAGCAAGGTATCAGTTATTGAACACAGTTTATAGTCTGCATCATTAAGAATACAAGTCAGAATCAACCATCCAGTATTCATCAAGCATTATACATCCTGTGACTTGGGGTGTTCAGTCCCACCAGTTTTAACACGCTGAAATATTTTTATGTGTTTTTGACTGACAGGTCTAAAGAAAATACATGCTACTGTCTATATGGTACAAATGCAAAGAGCATCCATCTCTAGGTGGATGTTTTATCCTAGCCCTATATCTTATTGAGGGCTAGATCCTGAGAAGAACAAAAATTAAGTTCTGCAGTTCTGCTTGCATTCTTTTTTTTTTTTAAAGATTTATTTGTTTATGCATACAAGAATGGGAGCACAGGCCAGAGGTGCGGGGGGTGAGAGGATTCACCAGAGACAGAATAGAGAACCGAACAGGCAGATTGACCGAAGTACAATGCTGAGAGGAGTAGCAGGTGAGACAAGAGAGGTCTACTGCACCATGTGGGTTGCTCCCTGGCAGTCAGGGATCGAACTTGTGCTGCAGAGTCTACAGTTAATGTCATAGATTGCATCTTAACCCCTTGCGCCACCATGGAGGCCCTGCGTGCATTCTTAAAGGTTGAATTTCTTGGGTATCAAGTAGTTGACAGACATGGTCCAGGTCCTCAAGGAATTTGTACTCAAAAATATTCATATGCATGACTGTTGGTTTCTGTTTTTCAAACAGGTGTTGAAAGGAGACGTATTTATGATATTGTAAATGTGCTGGAGTCACTGCACCTGGTCAGCCGGGTAGCCAAGAATCAGTATGGCTGGCATGGACGTCATAGCCTTCCCAAAACCCTGAGGAACCTCCAGAGACTAGGAGAGGAGCAGAAATATGAAGAGCAGATGGCACACCTTCAACAGAAAGAGCTAGACCTGATGGATTATAAATTTGAAGAACGTAAAAAAGATGGCTATCTAGAATCCCAAGATCAACAGCTACTGGAGTTCTCTGAACCTGACTATCCCTCTTGTGAGTACACTGTAACCACATGTAGTGGTAAAAAGAGGAGTGATAGTCCCTTCTGAAGAGTGATCTGATATTAGCGAAGATGTCATCTCAGCATGATGCTAAGCTAGGAAGCACCAGATTGACAACTCTGGAAGGAAATGTCCTCTTATCCTCTCTGGTGAAGAAAAGGAGACAGATGGCTCCCCACCTGGGCTGCCCACTTGATGTCACCTAAAGCCTTATCTGGTGGCTGTGCACTTGTAATTTGGTGTGCTTGGACCATAAGATGGCTAACGATGCTCCTGTTTTAGACTGACAGCCCCATACTGTCTGTTTGAGTCTTTAAGGAAAACATACTTATGAAAGAAGTTATTTTGTTTGACGAAATTAATTTTTTAAATTATATTGGAATCAATTCTTAGTAAAGAACTTTGTTCACAGAAAATGTTGATTAGAAAGAAAGCAACACAATCCTGCTTTCATTTGATATTGTTTTTTTACTTATATCTACATTGTTCCCCTCCCAACTCATACTTATTCTCCTAAGTTTTAATAAGGATCTTCATCATTCCCATTCTGCTCCCATTGCTGAGATGATAAAATACAAGTGGACCTGCCTCATTCCTTTTAATTCCACCCGTGAGCCAATTCTTATACTAATAACCAAAGGAGACAGCCATCTGTTGGGGATAATTTGCCTGCCATCCACACAAAGCACATTTAATCAGTGTCTCCTATTTACTTTTGGCTTATTTCTTCACCTATTTCTGAAAATAAATGTAAGGGGTGGGTGCTTATTATGTACAGGGCATATTCTAGATATTGTGGACACATAAATAAAGACTCAAGTCCTTGCCTTTGAAGGAAGAGCTGATAGTCACAAAACAATTAGTGATTCCGACCCTACCTATCCTTTTATCCTTCTACATTAATCTTTTCAAAATGTTGATTCAGGAAACCTGCCTCATGGAGTCTACTCTATAAAACATGAATGTAAGCCATTAATAGTGATTTAAAATATGCATTCCAGAGTTCGTGCCTACCAGAGGGGCGTTTTATGAGCCACAAGAAAATCCATGCTAGTTCTTTATGAGCCAACTTTTGTGATGTGTGTCCAGTTGACTCCTGCCTATAACAAAACTGATTTTTCCATCTGCTGGCAGAGTGAGTTAGTTCTGGAAAACTATAAGCATAGTCTTTCTTGTGGTAAATTCTATGTGTTGATGCTTTCATTTTATTTCTTTTTAGCATCTGCAAATAGTAGAAAAGACAAGTCTCTGAGAATTATGAGCCAGAAGTTTGTCATGCTCTTCCTTGTCTCCAAAACCAAGATTGTTACCCTTGATGTGGCTGCCAAAATACTGATAGAAGAAAGCCAAGATACTCCAGACCATAGCAAATTTAAAAGTAAGCATCTTCACCTAAACCCTCTTATCAGCACAAAAAGGGTGGGATTTCATGTGTTCATGTTTCCTGACTCAGAAAAAAAGAATGTTTTTTGGTTTGTTTGTGTGTGTGTTTGTGTGTGAGAGAAGTAAAGTTCTCCCTACAGTCATAATAAAGGTATTCTTGGTGTTGTGAGAGGTAAGTTAGTCACATACTAGCTTTCCTGTTAAAATTCTGTTAGGTATCTTTTTCCCAGCAGTTACAGTCTCCAGGGGAAGGATTCATTTCCCACCAATGCAGGTCAGGGAGGGTGTGAGGTACATTGCATTTCTCTTTAGTATTTCTGCATCCACAATGGAATGTCTGAGTTTTCTTTCCCCTTTTTTCCTCGCCCCCCTGCATACTCTTCTGATGGGTGGAGATGAAAGTTGTCTGCAGGTAAGAACCAGAGGAATGGCCAGGGTAGGGGAGGGGTGGTGGGACTTGGCTGCTGAACAAGGAAAGCATGTCCGGGTTTCACATCGAGCACATATTCCTTTTTGCTCAAGCACAGATTCCAGCCAAATGCCTTCTGCTGCTGCTAGCCCTTTCAAGCCCTAGGAAGCCACGAGCTCAGCATTCTCTCACTTGTTTTATTTCCAACTGGAATTATAATCACACTGTGGGAGAAATGACTAGAAAAAGTCCAGCTCTATCAGGACTGGGAAGAAAATTGCATCAGGGGTGAATGCTTGATGTTTCTGGATGATAATCAGAGCTCCTTTGCTTGATCTCAGCCCTGAGGTCAAGTGGGTTTCCTACCTGTAAATCCAGTTCTTGAACAGAAATTACTTTTTTGGCATCGTTGTCCTGCCTGTTTAATGTGTTATCTGAATTTCTCCTTCAACACATGCATTTTCAAATGACTCTCCCAAACCTTGTAAAATTCAGGGATTGTCCATCTCCACTTCTCCCCCAGGATATCAGGTGAAGAACAACGTGGCTTTGGCACAGTCGTGGCTCATAACCTTGAGCATGAGACACCCTGTGCACCCAGGAGTGCAACCTCATAGGAGGCTTTAGAGAATCCCTGTCATTTTCACAGGCCAGCTGCCTGGCAGAGCTGTTGCCACGACCTCCTGCTGGGAGAAACTGGGGCAAGCTTTTTGATGTGCCACATCTCAGAATTACATTTGCTAAGCCTTTAATTAAAACCCTCCCTTGGTGTGTTTGCCATATCAGTGCTTCCTGCTTGTCACTAGGTGCCTCTTGTAAGAGGTGTGAAGTTGCAGAACTGGATGGACACACTGACCTTCCCTTGATGTGATCAGATACATAAATCCTGGGTGATTGCATGACAGAGCCATTTGTCTATTTATCCCAACCCGCTGCTTTCAAATTGAGGTTTACAGGGTGGCCAAGAAAAGTGACCTGTCATATAAACTAAAACGTAATGGTGTTATGGTCGGCATGACCATAATTGTGTTTTATATCTTCAAGCAAAGGTACGACGCCTCTATGACATAGCCAATGTTCTGACCAGCTTGGCCCTGATAAAGAAAGTGCATGTAACAGAAGAACGAGGCCGTAAACCTGCCTTCAAATGGATCGGGCCTGTGGACTTCAGTTCTAGTGGTAAGGCGGCGTCGTTTAGCTAGGGACCTGTTTTATTTAAAATCCTCCATTCCTTTTCTAAATCATACATCTAGTCCATGTGAAGTTGATCTCCATTTCCCACAACCCATGTCGCATTCAAACAGGCCAGTGATGTCACTCTTGGAACAACAAACATTAGTCTCCAAATGATATGTGCTAGTTGGCTCATACACAATTTCTGTAACTATTAAATTATAGCTCTTCAGTGTTTTTTATTTTGTTCTGAAGTTTTTTCCTGGAGATTTAAAAAAGATACTTCTTATGAACTTTGGCTATTTCTACATTAAAAACATTGTTTTTCTTGGAAATTTCAGATAATGTAAAAATTATAGCATTTTCTATCATAAGACTGGTATGTGCTAAGATGACTTCTAAGTATAGTGTGGATGTCATGAACATCATTTTTTTTATAATTGATCTAAAAGGTTGCAACTATCATAATTTTACTAAACCAGAGCAGAAGAAAATGTTATTTTCTACTTATTTCACAGATAACATCTGAGCAATTGGGGACTAGATCTTATTGCACCAACTACTTTACATATAGCTATGCTGCCTGGGAAAAAGGCATTAAAGTTATTTTAAAATTATCTTTCCAGTTGTGGTGTCAGTGATATAAATTCCTGCCATTTAACCCAAGCATATCACAGATATAGCTCTCTATCTCCCTAACACATTATTCACTTAGGATCTAGCTGAAAGCACTTAAAATCAAGTATAACTAATTCAATCCAGTAAGTACTTAATGTGGACTGCACTGCACATGATTACTATACTAAATGCTGTAAGAGATTTAAAGACGTATATGACGCAGTCCCTGACTGCACGAAATATACATAGGTCTTCATTTACTGTCATGGATTGGCTCATGGAAACTGCAGCTTTTCTTTTTTAATTTTTAATTTTTTATATATTTTTTACATCATTGTTCATTTTTAAACAATGTTTACTTCCCCCTCCCAAGTGCAGTCCCCATAGAGTTTCCTTCACCAGTGCACCTGTGCACCATCACCTCAGTCCCCTGTGTTCCTCCCTCCCTCCCTCTGATCTCTCTCCCTCCTCCTCCCCTGTAGGATGTCTCTGGTTTATAATTGTCTGTTTGTTTTTGTTTTGTTGTGTTTTGTATTGTTACTATTTTTTTCCCCTGATGTCTTATTTGGGTCCCCTATATTCCTGCTATAAGTGAAACCATCTGATATTTTTCTTTTTCCTTCTGACTTATTTCACTGAGCATAATTCCTTCCAGCTCCATCCATGTTGCTGCAAATGGCATGAGTTTATCTTTTTGATTGCTGAATAGTATTCCATTGTGTATATATACCCAATCTTCTTGATCTAGTTTTGGGCATCTGGGTTGTTTCCAGGTTTTACCTATTATAAATAGTGCTGCAATAAACATAGGGGTACAGGTATTCTTTTGAATCAATGTTTCCACGTCCTTTTGGGTAGATTTTCTAGGAGTGGAATTGCTGGGTCATATGGTAGCTCCATTTTTAGTAGACCAAGGAACGTCCAGACAGCTTTCCATAGCGGTTGGACCAGGAAACTGCAACTTTAAGTGGCATGTAATGAAACCAGAGTCTCTAAAAATGTTATTTCTTTCAGCATGAGCTGGGATTTTTTTTTTTCCTCATTGACACTATAAAGAAATGACATCATTCGAGGACCTGCCGCACAACTTGGCCACTGTCTATTTCTCTGCCTTTGGCTTCTCCTACTCCTACCTATAAAGCCCTCTTCTCTTTTTCAACATTAAAATATTCTATTCAACCTTCAAGATCTGGCTCAAAGGTCATCTCCATCATGATGTTTACACTTGTCATCCAGAGCAGCACATCTCATCTGCATTATTGCGGTATCAGTTGTACTTAGTGATGTTGAGAGTATTTCCTTGTACCTGCTCTACACACCTGAGTCCAGATGCTATCAGTACCTTACTTACTTTGGTTGGTCAATGAACTTCTATTGAAGATGTATCACTAGAATTTGAAAATTAGCTAATAGTTAAGCACTACACCTGGTGGTACTGGCCCTGTAGAAATGCAGAGAGAATATGGGGTGTTCTGATGCGCTGTTGTGTTGTGGAGTGATGGAGAGCTTTTTAGTTGAAGAAATATACTTAAGAACGAATCTAACTAGAGTTAGAGAGATCTTAGGATAGAAAATAAGGACAAAATGCGATTGATTGGCATCACAGACTGGAAAGCCTCAAATGTTGGGCCATGAAATTTATACTTTATGTAACAGAAGTGACAAGGGGTATTTAGGTCAATTAAAAAAGAAGAGGGATTTAACCGTGGTGTAGAGAAATCAAGTTCCTATTTGCATAAAATTGGGGAGAGCTTTGATCTGACTGGGAAAGAGGCCTTAGACCAAGGTTAGGAACTTGCTTTCTCTATTCTTCAAATACACGGTTCTCTGAATTCCCTAGTTCCATTAACAATACTGTCATCATCAACGCAGCAATGCAATTTGGAACATCAAATCACCTTTGATTCCTTAAGTCACTCTCCCCCCTCACCTCTTGTTTGATAAGCAGTTTAAACTTCTTTTTCCTCTCCACCATCATCACTCAGTTTATGCATGAGTTTTCTTTTTAACAGCTCTGTAGAAGTAGCGTTGACATAATAAAGTTATAATTTGATAAACTTTGCATTGTCTGTGAAATAATCACCACAATCAAGATATTAACCTATCACCTCCAAAGTCTCCCCCTGTTCCTTTGTAATTCTCCTTCCCTCCCCCAACCCACATCCCTGGGACAAATACTGACCTACTTTCTCTCACTCTAGATTTGCTTGTATTTTCTAAACATTTCTATAAACAAATCACATACGCAATGCTTATTATTCTCAGGTTCCATATTTGCAAATTCACCTCATTAAAATTGGTAACTCCAGAATCATACTGCATACTCCAGACATTTTCTCATTCATGGACATGCCAAGTGGTGAAAAATTTTAGTGGTCAATGTACATGTTCCCAGCTGAAGTTGAACAAGGCAGTGTGCTCTTCCTTCTTGTCTCAGCTCTCAGCCCATAAACAAGTATCCTTTTAATCGTCTTTGTAGTGCCATATTTTCATATTTTTGCACTTTGTAATGGTGATTTTGTGATTTGAAATGGTCCCTGACTGTTTCATTTGGTAGAATTCACATGATTCATCTGTGTGAGATTTTAACAACAGATTCCATTTCTTAATCATTAATAGGTATAGGACTATTCAGGCTCTTTTTTAGTTCCTTTCTCCTACTTCAATTTAATTTGTTCTTTTTCATTTTTCTTAATGTAGAAATGGGTGTCATTAATTTGAGAACTTTTCTTCCTCTACAAACTGCTTTTTTCTCTACCCCCCACAAAATTTTATATGTGTGTTTGTTTTCATTGTCTTCCAATTCAAAATATTTTGCAAATTCCCTTTTGATTTCTTCTTTGGTCCACAAGTTATTTAGATATGTTTTATGTACTAATTATAATTGCAGATTTATCTCTCATTTTGAAGTTCTATCAAGTTTTACTTTATGTAATTGAAGCTATCATTAGGTGCACAGAACATTTAGAATATATCTTTATATCTTTTTAAAGAAATGACCTTTTCTTATTATAAAATAAAGTCTACTTTATCTGATAGTGATAATATAGTCATTTTATCTTTCTTTTCATTAGTTAGCATAGTACATATGTTCATCCTTTTAAACTATTTTAAATGAGATTCTGGTAGACAGTATATAATTGAGGGTTTTTAAAATATCTCATGTGACAATTTCTGTTTAATTGGGTTGTTTAGACTGTTTGCATTTAATGTGATTATTGATATATTTGTATTGTAGTCCTTATTTTGCTATTTGTCTTCTCTTTTCGTCTGCTCATTCTTTGTTTTTACTTTTTCCTTCCTTTGGATGTTTTTGTTTTCGTTTTATTTCCTTTACTGGCTATTAGCTGTAACTTTTTTATATTTAATCCTTTATTTCCTATGTTATTGATTTCATTTATTTTTTCATTTTTAATTGAGTTAATAGATACCTTCATCAGGTATTACTGCCATAGTGCACCTACCACCAACTCACCCATATTCCATTAGCTGTAATTATTTATGTGTTATTTAATGGTTGCTTCAGGAGTTATGGTTTGAACCTTTATGATAAGTTATAACAGTCTGCCTTCAAGTAACATTATACTAATTTTATATAAGAACTTTATAATAGCATACTTTCATTTCTCCCTGCCTGACCTTTGTAGTTGTTGTCAAACACTGCTGCTCTGTTATAAATGCCATAATGCAATTAATTATTACTTTTGCTTAAAAGACTGACTTGCATTTTGAAGATGTTTTAATAAGATTGATAACTACCCATGTCATAACTATTTCCAGTGTTCATTCCTTTTTCTAAATGTAAGTTTCCATCTGATTTTTCTGCTGCTTGATGGACTTTAACATTTCTCATAGTTAATATCTTCCAATGATGAATTCCTCCAGCTGTTGTATGTCTGAAACTGTCTTTATTTTGCCTTTGTTTTTTGAAGATAATTCCTCTTGGTAAGAAGTCTAGGTTGAAGGTTTTTCCTTTCAGTGCTTTGAAGATGTTGCTCCACAGTCTTGTTTTATATATGTTGTCCAGTACATTTAGTTTCAGGGATATGAGTAAATACCATCCCTGTGACTGTCTTGACTCGTTTTCTTCTTTTTGAGGCTGTAATTTCTGACTTTCTAAAAAGAACATTTATTGGTTTTTTGTTATAGCAAAATCATACAGGTGATTTTCTTCTACAGTTTTTGAATTTTAGAAAATGTAAGTGTAGAGGAAACTTTCAGTTTATTGTTAGTTTTATAATTAAGTTACGCATTCTTGAGCTTAGTAAAAATAGCACAGATGAACAGGGTAGAAATGACAATCTGAGCAACAGGGACTATTTCTACATAGAAATAAAGAAATATATTAAGGCCTGGCTGTATATAGAAAGTTCTATCCCGACTTCATATAGGCTCCTGTAAGCTTAAAATGGGTCTCCAAGTTCCAGGCTTCTGTTCTCACTGATCTGCATTGATCTCCTGGTATTTCAACCATGAGGCTTCTGCTGACCTTATTCCTTTGGTCACTTAGTAACTGAGCCTCCTACTGCATAAGAAAGAAATAATAAAGCATAGTAGAAATACAGATCTTTGTGTTCGTTGTCCTAGAGCTGTGGCATAAGAGGCTGATCTCAGTTAATGTTAAAGTCTGAAAATATGCATGTTGGGCTAAGCATGATTGGGTTTTCTTTTGATATTCTCTACCCAAAGAAAGCATCTGAAATGTCAGGTCCGTTCTAATTTGGGTTGAAGAACATCTTGCTTTACTTTTGTTGCATTCCAGATAATTTTAGAATATATGGATTCAATCTCACTTTATAGTTAATCCACTAACTTTCAAAAAAGATTAGTACATCGAAATAAATTGGGGTTTGAGACAAGGCTCATAAAAATCATTTGATTGTCTCAGTTTTTAATTTACAGTGTAGTTCCATTACAATTATAGGTTCTCAAAGCCATATCTTTAAAAAGTTAAAATTATCCTGAATTATAATTATATAACAACACTACCAATTCTCTCATTTATTTAGATGAGGAACTTGTGGATGTTTCTGCATCTGTCTTACCAGAACTGAAAAGAGAATCATATGGCCATATTCAGGTCTGTGCAAAACAAAAGCTGGCTCGACATGGTTCTTTTAACACAGTTCCGAGTTCTGAGAGGATTCAGAGAAAAGTGAACTCCGAACCCAACAGCCCTTACAAAGAACAAGGTATCTGCCTCTCTGGAATCCACATAATTGTCACCCTACCTGGACACTGGTATTTTATAATGAACTGACTCTCAAGGCCCTGCCTGTTATCAGTTACCTCAGGTGAAACTATTGTGAGGGGTAAAGGAGCTGCTATTGTCACAGTGTGGGACCATGCATGAAATTGATCCCAGTCAGCCTTTAGCTCAATTCACTATGTTTGCCTGATTGAGGCATCTCAGAAATTTATTAGATTTATAAATCAACACTTGTATTGTTTTCTTACTGATTCTTTATGAGACCTGAATTCTTCATGAAAAACTAACTTTGGGAAATTTCTAAATCAAAAAAGCAAAATGGATTTGAGATCATCTTATCACTCCTGAGCTGTGAATAATGAATCCTGCTGTATATAATTGCTATGTAACAGTCTCTTGCTATATTTGTTAGACCTTCATTTTCCTTTTCAGGATCAGGTGGTTACTCCTTAGAAATTGGAAGTCTGGCAGCTGTCTACAGACAGAAAATAGAACACAGTTCACAGTAAGTAGTCTTTAAAAATACCAAGGGTATTCCATTTCCTAGTGTTAAACTGGACTATATTGAAATGCTATCCATCAAAAGGTGGAATTTAGCGGTCTTGCTTATAAGTCAACTGTTTGCTTATTAACAATTTTGTAACTTTTCCTACCATGGTATGGGATGCTTCATCAGGGATACAAAAGCTAGGAAATTTTATACCCTTGTCTATGAAAGCTTAGAAAAAATTGAAACAAATACACTGAAAAAAGACAGTTTGCTACCAAATGACACTGAAGAATAATGGCTCATCATCCTGTGAATAACTCATTATCATCCTAGCAGACTTGGGTGTTAAGCTATCAGGCCCTGCTCCAAAAGTTGATGTATAGTCACTCATCTAGTATAACAGTAATTTTTTGAGGTTGGTACTAATCCTCATTTTAGAGAGGAAACTGAAACCCTGAGAGTTTAAGTAACTTGCCCCTGGTCATACTGCTAATAAGTGACAGGGCTGAGATTCAAACCTAGGCCATCTGCCTCCAACTTTAGTTCTGATTTTGAAGGAAATCACATTTATCAGAGGGAGCAGAGGAAATGCTGAAAGGGAAGAGTAGGTCTAATGACAGATCTGGGAAGACAGACTGTGAGGCAATATGGGAAGTAGGGGGACAAGGCACTGATTAGTTAGCTGTAACAGTTTGTCCAAGTAGGACAGTAAAAGGAAATAGTCATAAAAAGAGCTTGGGTGTTGGAGGTAAGTAGGTCATGTTAGCAAAAAGCTTTGAAAGGTAAGTAGAAGAATCTGGACTTATCACACAGACAGTACAGAACTCTTCCCTGGAGAGGAACATTCTGGCTGCTTTCAGCAGGTGGGATTAGGTGCTGAGAAGGGCTTCAGGTGAGAAGATCACAGAGCAGAGCATTAGCAGTCATTCTGGTCTGCTGGTGCTCGTCTGAGACATGTCAGCTGAAAATTGAAAGAAATGGGCATCAGTGTAAGACCGTGAGTCAGCCAGACTCACGAAAGCAAGGAGAGGCATCAAAAAGAACATCTGGATGTCAGATGATGGTGATATTATTAGTGACAGTGGGGAGGTGGATGGCTGAGGTAGGAGGGTGGGGGTGTGCTCAGTGTGGGCATGCTGAGTTGTACAGAGCTGAGTAATACCATTACTCACCCAGAGGGGACTGTGGTTAGAGAGATTTGCTCATCTCTGGCACCCAGTGCGCTCCATTTTACTCCCAGTAGCACAAAGGATGACAAAATTTGTAGATAAAAAATAGGCCTCAGTAATCTCATCACAAAGTTTGAGAGAAATCTCTGTCCCCCCTTAATAGTGCCTAAAGGAATCTTAAGGGTTTTTCTTCTCTATTTCTAAAAAGATACCCAGAATATATACATGTTGAATTTGGAAAGTTTTCTGTATAAAAGGTCCAGATGTATGTAATCTCATCTCTTTTTTTTTTTAAGATTTATTTATTTATGCATACAAGAACTGGGGTACAGGCCAGAGGTGTGGGGGAGTGAGAGGATTCTCCAGAGACAGAGTGGGGTGTAGAACTGGCAGATTTACAGAAATACACTGCTGAGGGGAGCACTGGGCAAGTCAGGAGAGGTCTGCTGCACCATGTGGGTAGCTCCCTGGCCAGCAATCTGCAGTGGCTGCGGATTGCTTCATAGTGCTGCATCTTAACTCCTTATGCCACTAGGGAGGTCCCTAATCTCATCTCTTGAGGGAACTTAATGTAGAATGTGCTGCCTTAAAGTTCTGTTGTGATACCAAACAGAATGGGACAAGAATTCTGGAGAAGAATAATTTTGTAGAAAAGTTTATTTTCTAACTCACTGCCCACTTCATTAATTTCATAGTGAATTTGAGACGAGCTAGATTTGTCCTTCAAGTCACAGTTTGGTACAGTCTCTGGTGTCCACCCAGAACCCCTCAGAGACAGTGTGAGACCCGGTCACTGTCACTGAGCTGGATGGCCTTCAGGTTATTTAACCTTTTCAGCTTCATTTAGTTTTCCTCCCTAGTAAACTCAGGGAGCTATGAGAGTAACTATTATAATTACATCATTATTATATTATGCTAATCATGAAAGCATCTGTATGCCTGGTAAGGGGTGTGTGCTGGGTAACTGACAACTGAGAGGCAGGAAAGGAGCCAGTATTAATTCTAACCTGAGATCCCGCATGAGTTCATCCCACATCAATTCCCCCACCCCATCCTGAACCATCTATCCATCTTATACCTCATCATCTGCCTCTGCACTTAGCTAACACGCAATCAGTGAGTGAATTTTCACATCAACCTATCTAGTGTTACCTCCTGTTTTAGTACTCCTCTGTAGGAAAGCAGAGTCAGGGAGTGGTAGAATGTGGTAGGTAACTGGATGGCCCCCACTGTTGCCTTTTCTTCCAGGGAGAAGCCATTTACCAGTAAGAAAGTGATGCCTCCATCAAGCAGCCTGGACCCTGCTCCTCCCATGCCTGTCCTCCCTATTGACTCAGATTATTGTGCTAATCCTTTAGCCAACCAAGTATTTTCTGTGGCACAAATGGACTTGCAGGCCTTCTCCACACACAGTGGTCTAAATGGACAAGTAGGCTCCTTGCTCACTTCTGCAAACTCGGATGTGGAGAACCTGAAGCCAGCCTTGCTGGCCGGCCAGCCCTTGGTGTACGTGCCCTCCACCTCACTGTTCATGCTGTATGGGAACCTACAGGAGGGGCCGTCCCCAGGGTCGGGGTCGGGGTCAGAGAGGGACAGCAGGAGCTCGGAAGTCCTAACAACAACAGAGTCGTCATGCACACCCTCGGTTCAGAAGCGCCTCAGTGAGGAGAGGAAGTCTCAGGAGGAGGAGGAGCCGGCCACCAAAAGACAAAGTCGGGACTATGAAGATGGTCCTCTGTCCCTTGTTATGCCCAAGGTAAGGGATCCTGATGGACATGTTTACTGACTTCCTGTTAGCTCTGACCTTCTCCCTGACACAGACTCACAGATAGAAATAAGCGGCTTGATTCTGGAAAATGAGGCTAACTCATGTATCACTTGTGTAACTGAGCTGGGAACTGACTCTCCCCAAAGATCTTGTCATAAAGTATACTGTAAGAAAAGTGATTTTTTATAAAGGTCTCCTTTTGCATAAACTACTGAAAAGATAAAACAAAAATGTCCCCATTATTGCACCACATGGAGGCATGTATATTTCCTCTTTGTCCTTTGACTATACTTATTTTTTTCAAAGAAGTTGAGATCACTGAAATAATCCTCTTAATACAAGATGCACTGAGTTCCAGGGCCAGGAACATGGCTGTAGTATCATTGCTTGTGCTCACATAACTGTTGCCCTCATCACTGCTCACAGATACTATTTCCCTTGTTATGAAAAGCACAAAAACAGCTGTCCACATCTCCCGCTTAGCAGAGGTTAATAAGATATGGCCAGTAAACCTCTCAGAAGGCCAGAGCAATGGCATTGCAGCACAGCAGCAAGTAGAATTAGGTCAGCTACACATACTTCATGGAAATCAGTCCATTCATTAAGAAACTTTCTCCTCTACTTTTTCTTGCCAACACACACACACACACACACGTATGTATGTATGTAAATGTATATGCATGTATGTATATGTATGTATGCATGTGTGTATGTATATATCTAGACTGGGGTTACAGAACAGAAGTGAAAGACTGACTGGCATATGTCTTAGGTAACCAATGTGAGCCAGCCCCACAGTCCTCATCAGATTCTTAAAAAGACGGTAGTACCCACACCCTTTATGAGTGGGAAGTTCAGAAATGTATTAAACACACAGCCTTTTCCCGTTATTAAAATCTTCATCACTTCTAGGCTTAAGAATCATGAGTCTACAGATACACGTGAGGTGACACTGATTTTCGGGCCCTTCCTCAACTGCCATACACAAGTCAGCTTGGCACAGTGCCCACTTTGGACTCTTTGTTTATCTGTTAGCAGTTTTGAGGAAGCTGTTTTTAAGATTTTGACTTGCTTGTCTGGTGCCTGGTTTGTTTGTGCTTAGAAACCCTCAGATTCCACAGACATTGCCTCTGCCGAGATCCTAGGGAGCAGGGGGTCTGCGCCCCTCGAAGATATTCACACGAATGGCCACCTTTCTGCTGCAAGGGAGTTTTTAGGAACGGCTACAACAAACGGCTTCGTTTCTTCTGACTGGGGAGATCCCTTAAGAAACACAGAGATTGAAAAGCCTTCCAAAGAAAATGAAAGCGCCAAAGAGCCCTCTTTGCTGCAGTATCTTTATGTGCAGTCACCTGCCGGTAAGGGACATCATCAGGCCACAGACTCCTTAGATAAGAAATTGAATTTAGAACTTCTTATGCATGTGGCCTAGTCTGTGGGGTTCATTAAGGAGCTGCTACTGATGGCCTGAGTCAGTTTACTTTTAGCCTCCTTGTTTTCTCCATCTATGAAATGCAGATAGAGGCTTCTTTCACTTTCAAGGGTAATGGAAAAGTAATTAGGCCAGGTGATTTTCTTTTGTAATGCATTAAATTTTAATTTTTTTTTTTTAAAAAGGCACCCCCCATAAATTCAAAAGAAGAATCAATGTTTATAGTTTAGCTGAATCAGGCACTGGTTCACCATATCAAAGTGTACTCACTGGCCAATCTGGGCAGCTAGCTTGCTCCTCTTAAATGTCCAGAAACACTGAGCATGTCCTCATATGGAAGGCCAGGTCTATAGGAAGAGGGCAGGATGTTACAACTACTTGTTGTCTTATCGTCTCATGAACTTATGACACCTGTTCAGCCCTCCTTCCAGGTAAAATGAAATAATAATAGCACCTGCTTCATAGGACTGCTATGAAAACTGAATTCAATTTAATAAAATGATATATCTAAAACATTTAGAATAATAGTTCCTGACACTAACACTTAGTAACTTTAGTTTTAAAATAAAACTAAAATATAATGGATACCTAAACTGTTTGGTTTTTTTTTTAAGATTTATTTATTTATGCATACAAGAACTGGAGAACAGGCCAGAGGATGGGGGGATGAGAGGATTCACCAGAGACAAGAGTGGGGAACAGAATAGGCAGACTGACTGAAATACACTGCTGAGGGGAACAGCGGGTGAGTCAGGAGAGGTCTGCTGCGCCATGTGGGTAGCTCCCTGGCCAGGGATTGAACTCACACTGCAGCAGCTGCAGACAGCCTCATAGATTGCATCTTAACCCCTTGCACCACCAGGGAGGCGATACCTAAGTTTTTAACATATGCACTGTGTAACAAAACCACCCTTGATACAGAGAAACTTAAACGATGTTCTTCTATTCCTGTTCACTTTATATCAGTATATTAGGGTAGGCATTTGTTATTCGTTTGTCTAGAAAACATTCTTTATTCCTATAGCAAATATTTATTCTAAGCACAACACTCAGGGTACCTTGATGAACAAAAAACAGACTAAGCCTCTGCTGAATGAAGATTACATCCCATCCCAGGGATTTTAGCTTTTTCTTGCCATGAACCCTTTGACACTATGGATTACTCCTCAGAATGTTTGCAAATGCTTAGAATTAAATACATGGGATTTTAAAAAAAGAAATAATTTGTTGAGTTGTGGTAATAAAAGGTCTGAAAAGTCCAGTACTCTCCTCACTTTAAAGTTGTGATGAGTTTAACAGTCCAGGCCTAATGGAAAACAATATGGAGGTTCCTTACGAGATTCAAATGGGTTTTTCATACAACACAGCAATCCCACTCTTAGGTATCTACCCAAAGAACACAAAAATACTAATTTGGAGGGAAACTTTTACTCCCATCTTCACAGCACTATTTACAGTAGCCAAAGTATGGACACAACCTAAATACCCAAAAATGGATGAGTGAATCAAGAACACATACTTATACACAATGAAATACTATTCAGCAATGAAAAAAGAAACTCATGCCATTTGTGGCAACATGGATGGAGCTGGAAGGAACTATGCTAAGTGAAATAAGCCAGGAGAAAGACAAATATTGATGGTGTCACTTATAAATGGCATATAGAGAAACCAAACAAAGTAATAGATAAAGCCAAACTTAAAAACGAACCCTAGAAAATTAATTACAGAACTGAGGAACACAGAGCGGGAGGAGTGAGAGTAACACTTCGGAGGTGTGAAGCTCTTATGCTCCCAGAATACCAACAACAATATATACCAACGTTACTTCAATAAGAAATCTGCCATAGCTGTAATGTGGATAGAAATAGCTGCTTTTTACTAGTGACATCGTCGAAGTACTGTTAATATAGCTGTGATTTTTTTGGCTGTGATCATAATTGAGGGAAATACAAATTTCAGTTAGAAGTTTTTTAAAATAAAGATATAATTTTTCTGATGCCAAATTTCCTCCACAATTTGGCTCCAGTGGCACTCATATTAAGAAACTCTTTCATGGGCCTCCTCTGGTGGCGCAGGCAGTTGAGCACCACGCTGTGAAGCTGTCCGCAACCTCTGCAGCTCGGGTTCAATCCTGGCCCGCTGGTGAGGGTCTCATATGGTGCGGCAGATCTCTCCTGTCTCACCCGCTGCTCCCCTTAGCAGTGTATTTCATCAGTCTCCCTGTTCTGCTCCCCGCTCTGTCTCTGGTGAATCCTCTCACCCTCCCGCACATCTGGCCTATACCCCGGTTCTTGTATAAATAAATAAATCTTAAAAAAAAAAAAAAAAGAAACTCTTTCAGGAGATACAGGCATCTACCAAATGATGAAAAAGGTAGACCAGGGCCACAGTTGTGGCTGTTGCTATGAAGGAGTGGTGTGGGGCTGGAGCCCAGAAAGGAGGCTTGAACTGGTACTCTGGGGTTGATATAATGTGGATTCTCATTTGCAAGGGCCATGAGGGATTTGTGAGCTTGAATGTTATCTTCACATTGTGTTGATTTTCCCCATGTTGTGCTTCATTTCAGGATTAAATGGTTTCAACGTGCTCTTATCTGGCAGTCAGCCCACCCATGCTGTGGGGCCATCCTCAGGTCAGCTGCCGTCCCTCGGAGTTCCTTGCATGGTCTTACCATCTCCGACACTGGGCCCTTTTCCTGTTCTCTATTCTCCCACTGTGCCAGGGCCACTTACCTCTGCTCCTGGCTCTCTCCCAAACACGGGACCTGTGAATTTTGGCTTGCCTGGCCTTGGATCAACAGCTCATCTTCTCATCAGCCCAGCAGCCATGGTTAATCCAAAATCATCCACACTCACTTCTGCGGACCCGCAGCTTCAGGGTCAGTGCTCACTTAACCTGAGTCCAGTGATATCCAGATCACACCATATCATCCAGCCCGAATCCCCCGTCTTTGGGGGACATCCAGCCTCTGTAGTAAAATTACAACAGGTAAGTTGGATACAAAAAGGCTCATCACTCTGTGATGCGATACGCATTTATTTGGCTTCAGTCTGGGTCACATGACTGTAGGTGGTGGTTCTATGCCAGGTTCTCTTTGGTTTCCATTGTAGACCCAGAGTGACCCACCTCTTTGATAAAGCACAGAGATATAGGTGAGGGCCCCTGTACTTAAAGACAAAAATATTTAGTTGTCAATCTGTTTCTTAGATCTAGAAGGACTTACTTTAAGTAGAGTTCAGGTGGGGGTTTTGATGAATGCTAATAGTTAGATGATTTCTCCAGGGTTTCATTTCCTTAGATTAATTAAGAAGATCACCCTGAATTTTCTTTGTACAGCTACAGACACAGTTGAAGGAAACAAACATCTTGATAATTACTCAAAGGATTTTAGCATCTGTCCTTTCTTGAATGCATTGTTTAAGAGGAAATATGTATGTATACACTCTCATAAAATAGATACAGATGTACACATATAAGTGTAAAAAATCAATATAAATTAGTACCCTGTTTTTCTGACCAACTCCCATTTATAGTTCAGTCAGGCAGTATTTGTTGAATAACTATTTTCCTTTAGACATTGTTCAGTGATTACTTTCTCTCCCAGAAAGAGTTATATTGTGGACAAAAGAATTTTAAACGAAAGTTTGCCAGACATTGAGATAAACATGTTGGCTTTTAAGCTTTTTGATCATCAGTTATGTGCCAGGCACTGATCTAGGCAGTGAGAGAGAACAATAAACAGGATAAGGTTCTACCCTTTTGGGACACAGTAGGTGGGCAAATATTTAACATTGAACATGAGAGGATAAATATTAGCAAGTAAGCAAAAAAGGGCCAACACACCTTATACTAATTATTTGTTTGGTGTACTCTAAATTGCTTTTATTGTTATCGTGCTTAATTTTTACAATCCTGTGAAGTTGGTACTTTTATCATCCCCATTGCAATCATGAAGAGCTGGGGGACACACCAGTTAAATAATTTGCCCAAGGTCACATCGTTAGTCATGGCAGAGTCCAGCCCTTAACTGCCACACTTGGAAATGCTCTTCTGCACACAAAATAATTAAGAAGCTAATTCCCTGGTGTGCAAAAGGAGGTAAATAGCAAGAATGTGATAGAAAGCAAAGAAAAGGGAACACCTGCGTAGGTGCATAGGGATACAAGTCAAGAAAGAGCTTCCATTTGAGAGCCAGAGAATAATTTGGCATCACTTTTGTTTTTATTTACTCCTTTTCCCTTTTTTAGTCACCAGTTCCAGTGACTCCCAAGAGCATCCGACGCTCACATCGTGAGACATTTTTCAAGACGCCTGGCAGCCTGGGAGACCCTGTCCTTAGGAGAAGAGAAAGGAATCAGTCACGAAACAACAGCTCAGCACAGAGGAGACTCGAAATACCCAGCAGCAACGGGGCTGATTAACCTGACATTTTGCCAGGCAGAGATGGGATTAAACCACCTGAATTTCCCTGTTTCACAGGTCATCTCCTAACACTGAACAACAGAGAATAAAAAGCACACTATCCAGTCTTCAACACACATCCGCCATATCTGTCTTCCACTGTTTCTAATGTTAACTTTCCATTATCATGAATCATCTATTTTCCTGAAAGTAATTGTTATTAATTGTGCATTTAACCCAGTTAGAGTCCAGCCCGTGCACGGTGTCACAGTGAAAGCACCAACTGACTGTTGAGGTTTTCCTTCAAGAATCTTCTTACTGCTACAAGTAGATCTGAACAGGCTGCTGGAGCCTTGCAGTTTTTCTGAAGGGGGCGAGGGCCTGTCTAGCACTTAAATAGGGTGAGCATTCTTGACATGTATTTCCACTCACCCTGAGTACATCTGTGGTGAGAGAAACTTCCTTTCTGAGGTTTAAAAGAGCTACTGCTTCCTTCGGCTTCATCAGGAAGCCAACTTCAGTTGTGAATCCTATGGTATTATTTATTTTGTTCCTGAAATGGGATTTAGTGCAAGAAGTTTACAGCTACAGCAAAACACATATTTTTCAGGGTATGACGGGTTGAATGTTTATACTTTTTTCTAGAAGTTGCCTTGCACTTACTTTACAACCTAGTAATAATGTGGATAAACATATATTCATGACAAAATGTCAAGACCAAAACAACTGTGAAAGACACACCTGCTATAATGAACTGTGCTAACCCTATTGGGGCATGAGAGCAAAGATGAATTCTAGCAGCCCAACAGCTGCCTCTCCAATACCTATGTGAGCAATGAGTTTTCCAATGCATTGGCAAAAAATCCTTCCATGCTCGATTCCCTTCACTACGTGCCCCTGTGGCTTTTTATTTAAATGTTAACTGTAGAGTATTAGGTATGGATGCCTTCTGACAATTGCTGGTTATTGAAGAAATCAAGATGGTAGAAAATAATTATATGGAAAATTGGAACCTGGATGGAACCTTTTTGTAGAATTCTGAAGAGTAACGATGTAGAAATCGCTATAGGACAATAGGTGGGTTTTTTTTTTTTTCTTTTACTTTTTTCCTTCATGTTTGAAGGATCAGAGGGAAAATGGACAATACTCAGTAACCAAGAATATTCAAACCAGAATGGTACTTCTGTAAAATAAGGAGTGTGCAGGGGTTCAATTTTCTATCATGAATACAATTCTGGAAACTGTTAAGCAATACCCTTCTGTTAAACCTTATTACTTTAGGGTTTCATTAAGTAGCCGAACTAGATCTATGTATTCCTAGATTTCTTGGTATTTACCTCACTCTTATCTCTTTCAAAGAAAATGGTTTCCTACCTCCTTCCCTTCCTACTTCCTCTCCCTTCCTTCCCCACTCCTTTTCTTCTTTTCTTTCTGTATTTCTCTTTAAAAAAACACTTAAATTTGGAATCTTGGTATAGGTTTTTTTTTTACTTTTAGACCCCATGAAATGTTATATGAAAAAGAATAAAAATATTAATTTAAGAGACTCTGGGAGTCTGACTAAAGTAAAGCTACAGGATAATATTAGCCTTATTACCCCCACAAGATTTTTTAAAACTTGAGGTAAGTACTCAGATTAAATAAATTTTCTATTATATAAAATTTTTATCAACACTAAACTTTTAAAGTTTACCAGATTTTTTTTTTTGCTTTTTTAAGGTATTTTCTAGAGTAAAAAAAGATTAAAATGTACTTCTAGTTATCAATAATTGCATGGTAATACTTATCCTGATTCATATGCTGGGTTCCCTATGGAAAATGATTAAAATATATGTGTTTCAGGTAGATGACAGCTATGCAGCACATAAATCTACACGGAGCGCATGCAATTTAAATACATCATGCTTAAGACCTTCCACAAAATATTTTCATCAAAGAGGTCTATATTTAGATGAAAACACAACCTGAATTTCCCCTCATTGTTCTTGCATGCTCTCCACTTTACCATCTTTGATGTCCCTTTTTATCCTGCTCATATGACCATATAAACCTCAGAGAATTCACGGTTCTTGAGGGCTGTTAAGAAGCAACCCCATAAATAAGAATATTATGTCTCTGGGACCATACTGAGCAGTAAGAAAACAAAACACAAAATGCTTTGTATCAGTACCCACTTCTTAATGTAGATTTTTGATATGTGAAAAATAAATAATGCAGTGGTTGTTTCTGTCACGAAAATGAATCTTTTTTTTACAGAATGAAGCTGCTGAGCTAGACTTGGATATTTGGGTAGTGAAGCAGCAATGGCAATCTTGAGTCTATCATTGTATAATTTTAGTAAAAGAAAACAGTAATTGTCAGCTAGCCTGCTAAGGAAATGCAGCTTTGAGTTGGCACTGAGGATGTGTGTGTACCCCACACTATTCCAGGGTTTCGGAAACCCTTTCATTCTGGTACAAGAGTTGGGGGTATAACTTTTATACTTGAATCTACCTACCAAGTTTACATTTCTCATTTCCTTTTTAAGGTGCTATTTCTGTAATTTAAATAAATTTTCTTCCCCAATATAAAGCTGCTTTCTGTTTATCTTATTGCACTGCTAGTTTTATGTAGGTTTTAATTTTATTGCTGCTTTCTGCTTTCATTTTCATATTACTTAGTTCTCTTTTTTTTTCCTAATGGCTATATTTTCTATGGGTGTCTACTTGTAACTTTACTACATATAAGTTGGTTTTTTTTTTTTCATTTAAAAAATTTTTTTTTTTTTTTTTTTTTTTTTTTTTTTTTTTTTTTTATTTTATATTTTTTTTTTTTTATATAGGCATGTTTATTTATTTATCTGTTTGTTTGTTTGTTTTTGTTTATACATGCACTGGGTACAGTCAGAAGCGCGGGAGGGTGAGAGAATTCACCAGAGCCAGAGCGGGGAGCAGAGCAGGCAGAAGGACCGAAGTACACTGCTGAGGGGAGCAGCGGGCGGCAGGAGAGGTCTGCGCGCCATGCGGGACCCTCCTCCGGTGGCCGGGGAGCAGCCGGGGATCGAACCGGCGCCGCAGAGGCCGCGGGCAGGTTCGCAACCCAGCGCTCAACCGCTGCGCCACCGGGGAGGCCCCATTTAGAAAAATTTTAAGCTTTATAAAATAGCAATAAAAATTAATTCATTTAATAAGAGATATTGGTTGTGTTTGTTGGTGGACTTCGTGTGTTCTTTTCAGTAACATCATTAACAATTGCAGCATAGCCAACCTGACCCTAATCAACCCAAGTCATCTTTTTGTTGAGACCTGGGGGCTCTGGGAAGTTTGAGAGATTATATTATAGAGCCTGATTTCTAAGTAAGAATCCCTGTGGGCTTGGAACTTCTAGAAGATTCTGATGTTTATCCACTATGAGCATCACAGGGGAATGCAGATCACCTTCCCAACATTTCATGATGTCTGCAAGGTTAAATACCTCTCAGTCTAGCAAGTATCCACCTTTAATTCAAAGCCAAATTCTCATTAATCTTCACTTTTAAATGAAGCTCCTAACAAACTGTTCTAATATTTCCCAATTGCTGTAATCTCCAAATATATTTGTTGTATTCTCAGGCTCCCCTGCTAAATTGTGAGGCGGTAGTTTCTGGAAAACAATAGCTTTTAAAACCCCAGTATCAAGCTGGTGCTTGGTATCTGTTGAATCCCCCAGAGTAGAGAAAGGAAGTGTAAGACCCTCCCCCATCAGGACTTGCCCATTTGCCAGTCTTGAGTTTGATTTGACTTGTGCCTCTCAATTGTATTGAGGCTTCTTCCAACACATCACTCATCCCAATCTCTCGCCTTCTCACAAGACATAAAACCATACAGGATGAACTTGCTTCTATGCACACACCAGGATTAAGATTTTACTAGCATATATCCAGTGGCACATTGTGACAGGATCCAGCTGTATTGTAGGCATTTACCAATATCAACTCACTTCATCTTCGTTGTTATAGCAGTGAAAACATTACACTGGACAAGCAGAACTCATGGGGTAATTACAAAAGCAATTTTATTCCCTAATGTCCCTTTAAGCCTGGCCAATGGGGTGACCCACTCACCCTCATAAGAAAATTATGTTAAGTGCTGTGACTTCTCTGGCTACTGTAAGTAATAGAAGTTCGTGTTATCTTAAGTTGCAGACAGTCTTGATTCATTATGCAAAATGAGCATTTGAAACTTATACAGCTGGACTTGCTACAACCTGGTCATTTAGAGAGATGAGGGCATGGTCCTTTGTCTTTCCTGTGGAGCATTTCTCCTCCCTTAATGTGCTTGGCTGGACTTCTAACCCCAGGACAAAGCAGGGCAGTGGGAGAGGTCAAGGCTGTAGGCTTTTCATGCGGTAGACCTAGCAAATTTTGAACTGATTATGTGGACAATACTTCAAGCCTTGAAGCTTGGAAACATTTTGCCTGAGCTTATGATGCAAGCAATGCATGTTCCTCCTGTTACTATTCTCCCTCATCTCCAGTTTTTCCTGCAGCTGCTGAACACAGACTCATAGGCCAGATTTAGAATAGTCAGAAGCTGACAGCCCACATCTGGTACCTGTGGTTGCTCTGATTTTTGAAGTGAGGAACCAGCAAAATCTCAACAACCTCTCCCTCTGCTGCTAAAGCTGCTAGTGCACCCTTATCTGCCAGATCCTTCAGGCCAGAATCAGATATCAGAACATGTCTCCAACTGCAGGAGAGAGAAGAGAGAACACCTCCCCTTAATGACTTTAGGGTGGCAGAGATCAGGAATCACCACCTAACTCAAAAGGAATCATCACAAAATCCTTTCTGGTTTCATTTGCTCAATACTTTCAAGGTCTTGGGTCTCCCTGGTGGTGCAGGAGTTAAAGTTTCAGCGCTGTCAGGCTATCAGCAGCCACTGCAGCATGAGTTTATCCCCAGGGAGCTAGCCCGCATGGGGCAGCAGACCTCTCCTGTCATGCCTGCTGCTTCCCTCAGCAATGTATTTCAGTCAACCTGCCTGTTCTGCTCCCCACTCTGTCTCTGGTGAATCCTGTTACCGCCCCCACACCACCCCCCTGAACTATACCCCAGTTCTTGTATGCACAAGTAAATAAAAAAATAAATCATTATAAGAAAATACTTTCAAGGTCTTGTGGGTGAAGGGATTCCCTAGCTGTGTAATTGGTTTGTATAACACCTCTGTCAATTCTTTGGAATGCAGCATTAACTATAAGACACGGTCTTACAGCATTAAACCCAGCAGAGTTGCTCTGAGTACAGGGCCTTGTTCAACTGCACTGGAGGTTGGCCTGGTTCCAGAAGTTGGGGAGCCGAACACTATTTAACATCCTGTTACAATAGTCTATTGTCCATATTTCCTCTTGCAAACTTAAGCCTCTAATTGATCCTGTAGTAAGAGAAATTAATGGCTTGATTTTGTCCATTGTCCATGATTTGCATTTTCTTAGGTGATTGATCAGTCATATCTCATCCTCACAATACTGATTTCTTATATTCATTCATTTGTTTTTAGTGTTAAACTAAAAACTATTCATTTGTTTTTAGTGTTAAGATCAGTTTGATTAATTTTATGTTTTTTCCCTTTGGGAAATGCATCTGAAATGAAGAAATAATATGTAAAGCTAAAATGGCTTTCTTCTTTTCATTCTCTCACATCTAAATTCTTTTTGTAAATAACCCACTGATAGTTTTCAGTTTGATTGCCTCTTCTCTACAAGCATCCAGTCTTTCCCCAACTGCTCTAAAGAATGCAACTATTAATACAATCAAAAATAGGTAATCCTGGTGAAACAAAATCAGTTGATTTTTCTTATTATAGGATTCATTGGAGATTTAAGTTTGCAAGAAGAATATAGCATATATACAAATTTTTAAAACTGATATGTGATAGAGGGACCACTTTTCCTTAGAACAGTTTACAAGACTAGGGTTTGGCAGAAACTACTATGAAAAACAACAAATTAAACCACCAAGCAACCCTTTCAAACTTTTTTAGTCTTCACTGAAAAGAAAAGGGCTCTATATTAGCTTCTTCAAGGTAGAAACCATCAATGATTTATAACTGTGTTCACAATACCTGCCACAAAATGTACACCTGCTAAAAAACTGCTTTCTCATTGCAATATTGTTAAATACATAATAGTTATTTAGTAAATAATTGTGATACTGTTTGGTTTTATTTTGTTTGTTTTAGTTTAGAAAACTAGCCTTCCCAGTGCCACCACACATTTGTTTTATATGCTTATAAAACAAAATGCATCATCACAATCCTGCTTTAAACTTCCAGTGGCATCCCTTGCAACATTTGCTTAACCCCTTTAGCATGGCTTTCCAGTCCCTTCAGTCTGGTCCTGACTTGACCTAGCAGGTATGTTAGCTGCTGTCTACTGACCTTCAGCACTCATTTCCACTACCCTTCTAAGTTCTCTTATCACAGGGGCTGGAACCTGAGAACTATTTTTCCCAGATCTCCTGGCTTTGAGGTTCTAGAAGTGATTTTGTCAGTAAGATATACTCGCACAGTACTTGGTAGAGAGAAAGGAAACTCATGGTGTTCTTCCTCTTACAGTGGGAGCAACTGATACAGATAGCCGTAGAAAGATTTATACCAACTTTCCTTCACTCTGTTATCCAGTCTTGGACTGTGGACCACCTCTGACAGTGGCAGTAGTTTCATGCTATTCCCAACCACAATACAGCTCCTTTCTCGAGATAGCAACAGTGGTGACAGGGTCTAAACCTTTCACAACGATCTCCTGACTTCCACTTTACATCCCTTCTAGAACTTAGTTACTACCTAATTCTCTGTATCAACACCTTCATATAGAAATATCTGTGTTTTCTAATTACTACACAAAACAGCGGTCTTATTTTCCACCACTCCACCATCTCTTTCCTTCTATCCTCTGTCAATCACTCCACATTCATTGTTCATATTCTTCATATTCTTTTATGCATATGTATTTTTGCACCAGTCAATTCCCCTACTGCCTACTCCCACTTCTTTTTATCAAGCCATTTCATGTTCATTTTCAAAATCTAGTTCAAATGTCCCTTACTTAGGAAGAATGAGTTTTTTTTCTCCACCACACCATAAGACCCTTCAAGGCAGAAATTAAGTTGTTTCCATGTAGGAACTAACACAGTGCTCAATGAGTTTGTGAATAGTCAACTAAGAAGAAGGATACGTAATAGTGTACTCTTAAGTTTTCAAGGAAGCTGTAGTTTAATATACAGCAGCAGCTTGAAACTAATGAGTACAGCAAGCAACAGCTTCTCACCATAATCAAATATTTATTGATGTTCACCAGAATGAAATCATGCATAGTTCTAGCCTGTCATGTCAGTCATTCAGTCACTCAATAAACACTTACTGTTATTATGCAAATGGAGTGGGGAACATTCTACCCCTTTGAGAATTATAGAAATGTAGTGCCCAAAGGAAACTTGAAACCTATTTTATTTATTTTCCTGTTTTACAAAGACCCAAGGTTGAGTGGCTTGTGCTCAATTGCACTTAACAGCAAATCCAAGACCAGAACATGAGACTCTCCAATATCCCTGCCCAACACACTTGTCCTTATGCCACACCATTTAGCAAGCTAAAGCAAAGACATTTGAACAAAATGTTGGAGTCATCCTACCCAATTTTCAGGATGTATGAATTTTATAGACCACAAACTTGAATACACAGAAAGTTATGAGTTTAT